CAACGATGCTAACCACTATACCGGTTGGGCGGCCACTAGGTACAATGATACATGGCAGGGACATGGTAGGGAAAAGCCTGCGAGCTTGAAGATCCTGGAACAGCTGGATCTAATAACTCTACTTCGGATCTGCTCGATGGCCACAGAGGAGATGCTTTCGCGGGCGGTTCAAATGTTACAAAAAGTGAAAATTGTCAATCTGAGGAACTGGGTCTAGAAAATTCTGTCGAAGAGACATCATCTTGTTTGACAACACCTGAGCACATTCGATCTTCTCAAATATCTCTAGAAGACGCTGAAAAATGTGCTGACTGGAATATTTTAAAGCTTTCTTAATAATGGGACTTCTTGGTTATTGGATAATACATGGGATCACCATATTATGGGATTTTCTATTAGAGGTATACTAAAGATTTGTGTTTGTGCCAGTTTCACACGTAAGCTAAGGTGGTCTCTCTCTCTTATTACTGCTGTGTAATGGTATCCACCGAAAACATCTCATGTAAAACATCGAATTTCTAAAGGCTTCAGAAGTAAGTATTGGCGACTTCGTATGAACCAATCTTTCGGTAAGTTTAGAAAACATTTGGCGACGCCTCCGATCCCGATAGCGGAAGAGTACCGAGAGAGCTGCGATAAAATTATCAAAAATGGTGTATCAAATTATTGTGTAAATTACATTACCTGTAAAGTTTGAATTCAGAAACATATGCTGCTCTTGGTATAAGCACAAAGATCCATTTCTGTTGAATTAACCAACCAACGGCAGTCAACCGAAACAGAGCCAAAATTGCCCATTTGCTGTCAAATGCTTGTGCCGACAAACCTATTATTCTAATTCAGAAGTCAAACAACAAAAATCAGCGTTATATTTACAAAATTTTCACAGGACTAGTTTCGATGGTTTTACCGAACCACCATCCTCAGCTGCAAAACCGCAAATGCCAGTTTAAGCTAAGGTGCGGTTTTGCAGCTGAGGATGGTGGTTCGGTAAACCATCGAAACTAGTCCTGTGAAAAAAAATTTTTGTAAATATAACGCTGATTTTTGTTGTTTTGACTTCTGAATTAGTATTTATTCGGCGTGTTATTGTGTGTTAACCTATTATTCGTTGCTATTTTTAAGCAACAAAACAGAAACGAATTATCAACTTCTAATTCCTGCTAATTTTAACTGAAATTAATCACTCACCAAGCTTTTGGCAAGTTATTATTTCAGATTTAAATCAAAGCTAGTTTGAATTTTTTAAGTAAAATAAAATGAATTTAAAACTTAGTTTCATGTTGAATATCCCTAAGTTCCACAGGACAGGGCACTGCCAAGAATGTCCCCTGTCCGAAGAACGAGTTGTACAGGGTGATTCTAAATTGCTTTTACATATTTAGAGGAATGATAATACCCATCGAAACAAGCAATATTTACCATAGAACAGAGCAGCATTCCACACTGTAGCGCCCACGTATTTGTTTCCGCTTTTTACAAGGGTAAAAACAATTGGATTTTTGTCAATTTTTTTTTTAACTTTTTAAGTGAAAATAGGTCGATGTGTACATGGATAAAGTCAAGGGAGTGCGAAATGCCATTTTTGTGCAATTCTAAGATGTATTTTTAAGTGAAAATAGGTCTATGTGTACATGGAAACCGAGTATGTGCAATTCTTAAAAACGCGCCAAACAGTGGGTGATTCTGCACTTTCGACGAATGGCTTTCAGAATTCGAATTTCAGAAAATGACTAAAATGGAAACGTAGTGTTGGACAATCAACGATTTCAGACATTAAAAGAGGCAAATCTACACTTTTAAATTTGGTGTCAGTGTTTGAAAACGAAGATGGAAGTTCAAGAAAATCAACGCAGCAACAAACAAAAGCTTACAAGATGACGTTTTCAAGTGGTTTCTATGGGAAACCCGATTTCGGGTCCGATTCTTTATGAAAAAGCTAAGATCTTAACTCAGAAGCTTCGTTGTTCATCCTTTAAAGCAAGTAAGGACTGGCTAAGAAATTTTAAATACAGGCACGGTGTCCGTCAAACAGCTTACTGTAACCGAGATGTTCAACAAGCAATGACTTTCGGCACTTGTAAGTATTGTACAGTACGCGATATAAACACGTACGCAAAAGTGTGCCTTTTTATTACTTCCTTGTACGAAGTAAAAAGGAAGTATTGTAATCGCGAAAAGTTTCAGGCAGCATATTTCAACGAAAATATCCATTTTGACCGCTATCGAATGCAATTTAACGATGTTTTTGCGTCATATCTGTACGTAAGGACAGAATAAAATACTCTATTCCTTCAAAAAAATTATAAAACTGCTTTAAAATTAATTCTGAAGAGAATTTTTCGTGGCGTCTGTACGAACGTATGTACGTACGTGCGTACTTACGTATCTCGCATAACTCAAAAACGAATAGCCTCAGTACATTGAAATTTTGTATATAGGACTGCTATAACATATAGATGTGCACCTCGTATTTCGGTTACAATCGGCCGCACCAAACGTATATAAATATATTTATATATATATCCACTCTGTTACCCGGCTCAGTGATCTCAGTTTCTTTACTCTTATATGTTTGTAAATTGTACATTTTTTGCTTTAAAAATGATTGAATTATGTTGTTTTTATCCTCCGGTTAAGGTTTTTATGCCTTTAGTAAATCTGTATGCAATATTTTTAGAATTATCAACAATTTTATAAATATATTTATATATATCCACTCTGTTACCCGGCTCAGTGATCTCAGTTTCTTTACTCTTATATGTTTGTAAATTGTACATTTTTTGCTTTAAAAATGATTGAATTATGTTGTTTTTATCCTTCGGTTAAGGTTTTTACGCCTTTAGTAAATCTGTATGCAATATTTTTAGAATTATCAACAATTTTAAAGTTGTTTAAGTGCCGCTAAGCCTAATAATTTTTTTGATGGCGGCCATTGCTTGTTTACATTTGAAACAGCAGGATGGTGGATTTGTGCCAATCTAGAGAAACTTAGCTTCGCAATAACAAATATAACACCTTCATTTATTATTGCGAATTAAATCATGCTTAATCTTTCCTGGAATTTTTTCGAGGAAATAAGTGTTTAAGATTTACTTCGTAATTTTTAATATAGATATTTTGAGCTTTATGTATTTTTGCCTTCTCGCGAAGTGAGAACTGAATTAATTGAATGAGAAATACTCAATCGTCTTTGAAAAAACTGTTTCTTTTTTGTTTTGTTTGCTTAATTTCTTTTATACATCGTTCTAGCTTTATTATAGTATTTGAATAGAACATGTGGCAACGATTCGATAATTCTATTCTTTAAATGATATAAATGTTGTGCATTATGAGTTATAATATGAACGAAATACATAAGTTAACTGTTATATAATTATTGGATTATATAACAGTTAACTTAGTTTCCGTTATATAATTATTATATAAGTTAACTGTTATATAATTATTAATACTGTTTAGTTAATCTAGCGCCAGAGTGTCGCTATGGTAAACAAATACTAGAGTGAATTTTAAAGAATGCAGTTATTCTATTGTGGTTTATGCGCTGTCGGCGAAGTAGATTTAATTCAATCCAATAAGTTTAAATGAAATGCAAGAAAAATGCGTATAATTTAATATTCCGTACAAAGAAGTCATGTGGTGTACACATCAGATTTTTTTAATTAATTAAAACCTCCTTTTCTTTAAAAAAAGTTTTTTTCTCGCATTTTCAATATGCAGTACGTACAGTAATTAATTAAAGTGTACGTAGACCCTTTCTTCGGAACAAAAATCCAGTTATTCGAATTTTGGATTATCTGAATTTCTGGTCTTGTCCCAATTGATTCGAATAATTTTAATTCTACTATATTTGGAACTACCTTTGTTATTTAACTGAAGAACGTGTGGGAAATAAGCGAATATAGTAGAAATATCCGAAAACCATTATCGAAAAAAAATTAAAATCTGTGCCAATCGAAGCTGAAAATAAAATTCATGGCGTGATTAATGAGCAGGCTGACAGAAAAACAATACAATTTTTTTTCTTTGCTCAGCCGCATCACGTTCTTTGTTTACATAAGTCCGAGAAAATAAATCTGACTTCTAAAATTATTTATTTGCAAGCCTTTGACTCGCTGATTTACTTGGGCTGTGATTACTTGACCTATGAAGTGAATGTCGCAAGTACTTGTACAGAATTATGTTCTGGTTTTTAAAATGATATTTACTTTAATAAGCAAATATTCGTGCGTACCAGTTGGAGAACCGCGCGTGGTAATCTTTCGCAAAAATGTACTGACGCAAACCTAAACATTACAAACACAATGTAAGTAAACATTTGGAAATTTAAGTCAATAGAATATGCGTCGTTTAAAAGTGGCTACTTAAGAACTTTTAATAAATTAATCGTTCGCTAAAAGATTCAATCCAGATACGAACTTTGCTTGAAGGCTTAAACTTTGGATCATTAGACATGAATCAAAAACACACTAGATCACCCAAGCCAATCAACTTCTATTAGTTCCTGAAGATAATAAAGCAACAAAGTTTCCTTCATTTGATGATGTAACTTAACATTTTCGCTAACAACGTCTGAAGATAAGCAAAATATAATTTCACTTTCTAATCCCATGAAACGAATGCTTCATATCTCGAAGAATTTGCTCTTGGAATATTACTGCATTGAATCTTAAAAGAAAAATATATTCTAAGGCCTTCAAGAAAACAAGTCTTGAAATTTGTACGCTGTTCAACAAATACTAACTGAAGAATTAAACTGAATGAGATCAGTCTCTACTTAGACTGCTGTGTTTCTTCGTAATCGGTAACTTGTCTGCCAAGATTTGAAAACAGAAACGAACATTTTTCAAGTTTTAACAATACTGGTAAACCTCAAGTCAATTAGACATTCTTCAAAGTTAAAGCAGAATTTCTTCTGTGTTGAATCCTAAATACATTTAACTCATTTGTTAATAACTGTGACAAATATACGGATAAATAACGCACAAGTTTTGGTTTTCGGTTAAGATACTTTAAGGTCCTTTTTTATTTGTCTGAAACAAAAACAAAAGAATGGTGAGAAAGCAGAAGGAAGACTTCACAAAGTATATGACATCTGTGCTTCAGAATTCTATGCTAACTGGCATTCCTCAAATAGCAACCGCCGGGAACATCCCCAAGAGGGTATTGCGAGCTTTAGTCTTCATATTATGCCTGGTGGGGTTTATCTATCAATCTTTGATCTTCTTGTACATGTACTGGGAATACGAGACGGTCATAGATGTCCAAGTGTCGTCTCCCGAGGTGATAGAAGCTCCTTCAATGACGATATGCACTTTACATGGGTAAGTAAGTATTTCTGCAAAGTGTTTGCTTACGTACATGTATTGTGTATTCTATTATAAATACTTTGGACAAGCTTTCCGAAATGTTAGTAATGTCATCATTCTGGAAGCTGCATTCTCCTCAGGAGTCATTATTAGTAAAATACCAGTAACTGTTAATTCGTCGAATCTTCGGATTATGGTAACTTGTCGATTTTTTGGTGACCAACCCTGCTACAGCAATCTGTTAGTTTTTTTTTTTTTTTTTTTTTTTTTTTTTTTTTTTTTTTTTTGGACGCCATTTTGTTTTCAGTAAGTAAAGGCATTTTTTTTTTTTTACTCAAAATTTTTTCCAACAATCTGCTAGCCGAATTACGCTTATGCTAGAACTTTTATCAAACAAAAGTGCTTAATCATGACAAAGATTAGGTGCAAAATTGGGAGAAAATGTAGAATCGCAAACTGCTTGCCGCGTTTTTAAGAATTGCACATACACGGTATACATGTACACGTCGATCTATTTTCACTTAAAAAAAATCATCCCAGAATTGCGGAAAAATGGCATTGCGCTCACTCTTGACTTTATCTATGTACACATCGACCTATTTTCGCCTAAAAAGTCAAAGAAAATTGACAAAAATCCAATTCTTCTTGAAAATCAGGACACTGCCTAAGCAGAAACAACCGTGGATAATATTATAATGTTTCAAAAGTTCAGAACTTAAAGCAGATAACCAGAATAACGCTTAGTGCCTTGCAGTTAACAATATGTAAAAACTGTTATTAGTTTATAATATTCAACCTTGTTACTCTGGAGTCTTCCCCGCCGTGATGGTATATAATTCCGTTTGGTTCATGTCTGTGGTCGGAAGCCATCATAGCAGTGCACTCACTCACTCACTCACTCACTCTTGTAAAAAGCGCCAAACAAATAAGTGGGCGATTCAGCACTTTAGCAGCGAAATTGTTTCTAAGTGCTTATTAGCTAAAAATCCTATGGGAATTTTCCGGAAAATGTTACATTACATGTCTCATGATTTCTCATTTCTCTGAGACAAAATAATCTGTGATTCGAACTGTGTACTTCTCAGATTATTGCTAAAGTCCTACCTAGTAACCTTTATCGCCTTACCAAAATGCTGCCAAACTACCTGTTACCATATTCCAAAGATTAGCCGTTAATTCATACGAGTAACAGTTACCAGTACTATCCATACGAGTAACAGTTACCAGTACTATTCATACGAGTAACAGTTACCAGTACTATTCATACCTGTAACTGTTACTGCTGTTAATTCATACTGAATTAACTGTTACTGCTATGTTAATGAAAGGACTATTTCCCATGAAGCAGTCACCCACGAGCCCACGAAGCAGTCACCTATCCAATTTCAAACACCGTATACATCTTCATATATCGGATCTGTATGATATGATCTGTATGATATGGTAGGACACAGCCTGACCCTCCTGGCAGACTTTACGTCGCCCTATGGCCTTTTTGCGAGCTGCGCCAGAGCAAGCTAGAAACAACATCTTCAAACAAACAGACAAAGAACATAACTAAAAAACAAAGCTAAAATCCCTACTGCAAGTTTATCATGATTAATCTTCTCCTTTATTTTTCTGGCAAATTTTTTCAGTCTTTTAAAAATCATTTAAAATATATATATTAAAAACATTATTTTTCTTAAACTCGTTTCTGATATCAGTAAAATATTTACATGTCTCCACATGATGCTCCGCAGTGCCCGGTTCTTTACAGATATTACAGAGATTACTTATTACAGATACACTTTTATCTTGATACATTTTATCTTGTAATTTAAACAAGATAAAGTGTAATTTAAACAAGATAAAAATTACAGATATTACTTTATCTTGTAATTTAAACCTTTTAAAATAGAAAGGAAAACGGCCATGACCTGTAATGATTTGGTTAACGTCAATTGTCTGAATTACATAAACCTTTTTTAAGTTTAACAAATTTCATATAACCTTTATTTCGATTAGACATTTCCCATTCCTCTCTCCATTTATCACAAATATAATTTTTCATAAGAGTCACAGCTTTCCTTGTTGATCCCTGTACATCAATATAAATAACAAGCATTAATACATCGGTAATTGCCTCCTTGGCCAGAGCTTCCGCCCTCTCATTTCCAAAATCTGTATATTAGTTGAGAGAATCTCGTATGTAACGACAGCATTCTATAGAATGACTAATAAAGGTAATAAAACTTCGTGATAATATTTAATAACTTATTTTTATACCTTGAAAACTTATACGCTATTTGTATGAAAACTCTTTCGGCATGCCAAATGTAAAAAATTATAAATTAAAGACACTAGTAAATCACAAAAAGTACCATTGAATTGGCATTTAAAAAGGAGAAAAATCCACTTCGATGTACTCCACCTCGAGTTATTTATGCATTGTATTTAATGTATTGTATTATTGTATTAGAACCAAATCAAACGATTAATTCAGAAGTTTATAGTGAACAATTTTGTCGTCTAAACTCAGAATGGATCAAAAAACGCCCACGATGGGTGAATATCAAGGAAAGCGTTGCTTCATCGTGATAACGCTAGACCGCATACGGCTCGAACAACGCTGCAAAAAAATGAGTGAATTTAATTGGGAGCTTTTGCCACATCCTGCTTACTCCCCAGATATTGCCTCAAGTGATTTTCACTTATTTCGTGCCTTACAAAATTTTTTACTGGGAGAAAACTTAAATTCTAAACAGGATGTACACAATGAACTTTCAAGTTTTTTTTGCATCAAAACCAGAGTCTTTCTACAGCAATGGCCTAAAAAAGCTGCCGATAAGATGGCGAGACATTGTAGATAATGGAGAAAAATATATCATTGATTGAAACGTTAAATTGTTTTTTTATTTTATTTAAAAATTTACCAAAAAATGCTCACGAATTTATGGACTGACCCAATATGTGTGTGTATACGCATATACATCCATACACACGTGCATACATACACACATTTCTGAATCCGACCCCGTTAATAGAACAGTATCAATTGTTTTTGGAATATGGAGATCTTATTAACGGAATATTATAAAATTTGCTTTCTAGAAAACAATGGTACAAAAGAAAACAAGCTTCAATATTGGCACGTATGAAACTTACAATTTTCTGTATTCATTCTATTCTCATTCACTTCTATTTGAACGAAAACTATTTGTACTTTAATAAATTGTTTGCACTGTTACCTGATTATGACACTGAGGTAATAAAACTTCGTGATAATATTAATAACTTATTTTTAAACCTTGAAAACTTATACGCTATTTGTATGAAAACTCTTTCGGCATACCAAATGTAAATTATAAATTAAAGACACTGGTAAATCACAAAAGAGTGCCATTGAATTGGCATTTAAAAAAGAGAAAAATCCACTTCGATGTACTTCACCTCGAGTTATTTGCGAATCGATCATTGAAAATTGAAAGTTGTCAAAAATTGGGCATTTTAAAATTAAATATCTCGGTCAGTTTTTGTTCTACTTTGCGTGAGCGCTTTGCGTTTAAATTTATTATGTTGAGGGCAGATGTTTCGAAAATTTAAATTTAAGGACCCAAAAGAATGTCCAGAAACAGTGTTTCTTAAACTACGAGATCCCAAACCGAAATTTTGGGGTCACGAAAATTCCATTCGATAGTTAAATTCAAAGACTTTTAAAGAAATTACATTAACTGACATTAATGAGATTAGACTTATACACTACATAAAATCGATATTAATGAGATTAACTACCTGTTATAAAAAATGCAAAGCTATCGTGGCGATTCAAAGCTAAAACTTGAATTTTCACAAAAATCCTTGATGAATTCTAGATCGGAGTTAAAGCTAAATTTCTCACTATTTCTGAAATGGCATTAAATGTTCTTCTCTCATTCAGCACTACATATTTTTATGAAACAACTTTTTCAGCTTTGACGCTAATTAAAACCAAATGTCGTTCAATGTTGAAACACGCTGAAGTAACTTTATGCCAGCAGTATCAAATATCGCATCGACGTTTAATTTGTTACGCAGCAGAAAGCGAGCATATCTGTCTCATTAAAATTTCTTAGTTTTTGTTTGCTAAAAATAAGTCTAAAAATACTTTTTATATGTATATTGTTTACCAAAGAAGTAAATTATATACGGGAGGATATTTATTTTTAATCTTTATTTTGCATTTAATATCTGAGGTCGAGAAAAAATTCTCAGTGATAAAAAAGGGGTCACGAGTGAAAGAGGTTTAAGAAGCGAGTGAAAAAGGTTTAAAACGTTAGATTTCTTAAATTTTACAGTACTGATGTCTTTAAATTTAAATTTGTCAAAGCATAAATCTTTACTTCGGTTAAAACATTTTTGTAACACAAAGTATGCGTCTACGACCGACGGTTGTGATAATATGAAGGACGTTTATGGACACGGTGTGTGCATAAGTGCATAAAACAGTTGGAAAAACATCTTTATATCTAATAAGGTGTCCATGATTTCTGAAAGACGATTTATATTAAAAATAGTAATAAATTCTGGATACTTTTCCGTTTTGCTGGCGAAGGCGATAAAGTCGCCAATAATGGTACAATTGGCGCCAAACGGAATATCCTCGCTGGTACCAGTCGTACATTATTGGTACAACCTTTTACGCCTCATTTTCAAAACAAGTCGCCGCCATTTCTTATCAGATTCTCTTTCAATAGTGGCATACAATTACATAGCATTTTTACCAGATAGTTCAATTTTATGGCCTAAGGCCATTCGCGGTAATTAAGTCAATTAGGATGCAATCACACCGCTCACCCGAAGGCGAAATTATAGAAAAGGGAAAGGGTTAAATTTATCATTTCTAATGAGAATGCACTAAAGAAGTATAGCACTGCTGTTTTACATAATTTCTGAGTAAGCTAGTCGTAGGAATTGAAATAATTCTTGCATTTAAATTTGTATTCCAAATTAAAATTTAACTTGAAATTAGTGTAGATAATTGCTTAGAGAAATATATTCTTGTAGCGTAGTTTACGTGATACGAGATCACTTGGGGTCACGTGATACGAATTGGCAAATCAGGATGTTGAACCATAAAAACATAGTAAATTCTTAAGGGGACTACGCCTTAAAACCCATAAGATGTTCGAATAGGTGACTGTCGCAAGCATTGGGATAACTTATTTATTTTAAAAGGAATTACTACCAAATTTTTACAGCTGACTACATAATATAGCTGCTTTCTGAAATAGTCATCAGAAAGTTTGTGTTGGCACAAATATTTTTATAATTTAATCCGCTTTGTGACAACATTTTTCGTCATGTTTCCAACTTGCGCGCAGTTTAAAACATTCTGTTTCAAAATTTAATTCCATGTTTAATATATAGCTTTATAACATTTGGAAACTACTGTAAACCTAAAATTCTAAAAATTTCATGTTAAATTTTTATTTTATTTTGAGTTGAGTTTATAAAATGTATTTTATTAAAAATTTTTTTAATGTTTTCGTCCATAAAATTTTTCAATATTAAAATATTCATCAGATTGTTGGTTCAGTTAGAAAATAGTGCCCATATAAAGAATTCCATCAAATTTTAAGCATGTACCATTTAGCCATTTTTAAAATATCATGCGCGCAAGGTGGAAACATGGCGAAATATTTTGTCACAAAGAGGATGAAATTAGAAAAACATTTGTGGCAACACAAACTTTCTGGTTACTAGTTTCCAAAGCAGCTATATTATGTTGTCAGCTGTAAAAAGTTGGAAGTAATTGCTTTTAAAATAAATAAAATATCCCAATTTTTGCAACAGTCACATATTCGAAGATCATGAGGGGTTTAAGGTGTACGAGTCCCCTTAAATAAATGTCTTTTTACAAATTTATTGTCGTTATTTATTGGCTTTTTACAAAATTTTAAACGCTATTAAAATGTTTATGCCTTCAAAATAAAAAATTCTTAGAACTAACATTTGTTAACATTTTTTTATGTGCATACTGTATGTTGTCGCCAATAAAGTCTGCTTGCCGAGATTTGAGCCGGTGAAACGGAAAAGTCCCAAATTCTGTGTTCGAATAAATGGGTAAATCTAAAACCCATGGTACAGAAGGCTGTGACTTTTACTAACAAAAATGTGTTACTATGTTGTAATGCTAAAAGTAAAACAAGAATCTCTTTCAATTTACCACGACGGCAGCGTATCGGATGTTTAATCAAGAAGCTTATTCATGGCAAAAGCACTTGTTTCATATTAACTTCTCTTTTCAGAGTCCAGTTATCGAGAATATGCTCTGACGAAAAGTACAAAAAGAAGTGTACCCTGTTAAAAGATGATGAGTACATAAAGTGGTGCGAATGTGCTCCTAGATACTGCGAGGACCCCGACGAGGACGATGACGTTATTGAACTTAAACTCATGAACATATCGGTAAGAATGGATTTCTTTTCGTGGTTAAGACTTTCATTACATGTTAAAGCTAATGCATAACCAAACTGCAATTATATGTTGGTTATAATAGTTTAATAGATAATTCATCATAAAATCAATTTTAAATCATGTCCTTGGGGAGTGGATGTAATGGAAGAAACTGCAGTAAAATTACTGCAGAAATATAGCAGTTTGTCTCAAAAATTACCTAATACGAATAATTGCTTTGAATCTATTCTTGAAACAGCGATTTCCACAATTTTTCTACCAAAATGGAAATGTGTAGGGCAAAGGAAAAGAAAACATTAAAAAAATGCTTGTAAATAAATTTACTAATTGATATTTGAGGCAGATTAAATATGCAAAGTATACTATAATAATTAACCCACTAAGTACAAAATTCTTTTCTCTCAATTTGCATTTATTTCTGGGTGTCCAGACTGTACAGACACTGTAAATTGGAATATTAATGGAATCTGCCATGAACGCTAAATGGGGATCTACATTCAAGTAGCCTTTACCGGAAAATAAAATTCACATAATTGGTATATAGGTAATAAATATATTCTAAAACCATTAGAGAACACGGAATATATTCTAAAACCATTAGAGAACACAGGAGTTGGAAGTGATATACATAATAATATATATCGCGTTTTGGAAACGTTGAAATCTTGAAAAATTTTACTTCTGCTCACAAATAATACTTTCCTGTTCACTCATTTAACTACTACTCAACAACTCGTGCAAAAGTTTGAGAAAAGTTTAAACAACAATTTAAAAAGGTAATCGTTCTTTCCAACCTAATTAGAGTTACCAAATTTCTGCTACCAAGAGAAATCCCCATAAGAGGATAATAGCAGTTAACAGACTAAGGAATAATAATATATAGTAATATACATGTATGCAATTCAAACATGGGTACTATTCGGTTTCGAGGGCCCTAAAAAAATTGCAACGAAAATGTAAGCGCAAAAGCGCGCCAAATCTAGCGTACGCGATGATTTCAGATTGCGTAAGTTTATATAGTTCTATATTTTTTAAGACGCCAGTGAAATACTAGTGTAATTTTTAAATCCTTTTTTGATTTTAAATCCTTTTTTGATATCCTAAGGATTTAAAAATTTGGGAATTGCCCATGACGAAAAGTCGGCAATAGAATTTTGGGTAAAGTGCAGAATCACCCACTGTTTGACGCGTTCTTAAGAATTGCACATACTCGGTATCCATGTGCACATCGACCTATTTTTACTTTAAAAAAAATCCCAGAATTGCACAAAAATGGCACTGCGCACACCCTTGACTTTATCTATGTACACATCGACCTATTTTCACTTAAGTAAAAGAAGGTTTCTTTTACTTTCACTTAAAAGTAAAAGAAAATTGACAAAAATCCGGTTGTTTTTAAACCTTGTAAAAAGCGGCAAACAAATAAGTGGGCGATTCTGCACTTTACCAAGAATGTTTTCAAAGAAAAGTCATCATTCATTATAGAAAATTACGTTTGAACAACCAACGAGATGAAAGTATGCTTTAGGGATAACTCGGTAGCGAAATAGCGATGTAGGCATCCATTCAGTTATGTTTAGCAATTTTGATATAAATTATAATAATGATCTGAAATACATATTTACTCTTATGCTTCCATTCAGTCATGTTTAGCCTTTTTCATATAAATTATAATAATCAAAAAGTATTGGTTTAATCCTAGTATCCGGTGCACACGGGATTTGGCTACTTTTGGCGACTTTATGATGAGCAGTAAAAACGCGACATATACGATGAGTAGTAAACAGGTCATTCAAAGAATATATATGGCTATACATAGTATGTACTATATATATAGTGTATAGTATATATATAGACGTTCTTTGGATCATTTTTGGTGTTGGCGATAATTTTCAAAATCGCGCCAAGGCTGCACCGTATACTAGGATTTTACCAAAGTATTACATGAAATTAACCCTTCATCTAAATTAAAACAATAATCTTTTAGATAGTTATTTACTATTATACTTCCTTTCTTGCGTTAGGGTTGCCGCAATTATTTTTGGCAGCACTGGCATCAACAATATTTTGGCGATTTTTTACGGTCCTCAAAACGGAATAGTGCCTTTTTTTATATAAGCATATTTAATAAAAATAGCTAATAGGTTGTGCAAATGGCAAAATATATTTATTTTTAATATTTATATTGGGAAATTAAAAAATAATCATTGTAAAATCATAATAGCGATGGTACTTAAGATTTTCAGTTTTTATTTAGATAGTACGCATTAGTCGAAAGGTTGAATACCGCTGGCCTAAATCTTTTTAATATTCGCAATTCTTTTCTCTAATTTATTACGTACATCTGTAAATACGCTTTCTTTTAAATCTTCACTCACTTCCGTAAAATGGTTCTCAGATTCACAGTCCATTAGCAACTAGACAATTAGAACAATGAAAAACAATTTCCTCACTATTCACTTATTTTTAGAAAAATAATTATGTATGTTCAAAAGGTAAAACTTACCTTATTCTTCTTTATGGTGGGCCACTGAAGACGTTACTGAATTTCTCCTAATTTATGAATTCAAACACACGGCCTTCTGTAAAGGAACACATTCAATCACAAAAATTGAACAATAGAAGAATCCGCGTCGTCGCGTCTAGCTTGCAAAGCTACAAGCTATATACCAGCTTGGTTACTACATGTAGCGATGCAGGGACAGTGATCCAAGTCAATCCTAGAGACAAGATATAATGCATAAAATACAAATATTTCTCATAAACTGGAAGACTATATACACAATATGTACAACCATTTGTTTCGCATTAAATGAGTGATGAGGATGAAATCAAAATTCTGCTGGGTGTACTCCAACTGCGCTAATGAAAATCTCCCCCGGGTCGAGCTATAGTCCAACTGCGCCAATGAAAATTTCTTCCCCCTGCTGCCTACAGGGTTACAATTTAACTTTTCGAAGCCAATTGTAGCCAAGAGGAAAATAAAAATAGATAAATAGAATTACATATCACAAGAACAAGTACAAACTATCTAACAAGCAGGCTAGTTGGTGAAATTTGTAAATATAATATTGATGTCTAAATATTAAATTTTCAGATTAATGTTTATTGCAAATAATTCTAATATGTTTAGTTAATCATTAAATAACTTGCTATTAATTTGACTTAAAACAAAACAAATTATCGGAACTATCTAAGGTTCGAAAGAGAACTTTCCAAGTAGGACAAAACCTGAGAGTAAATAACTTGAAACTATTCTCTTTCATTCGATTCTACGAGTAACATCCGATCGAACTGCCAGTGTTCAACGACTTTACCGCTCCGCCACTGGTTGTACTGGCCTACATGTAGATAGTCATGAACTTCTTTATTTCTTACTACAGCTTGACATTTGATGAGGTTTCGCTTCCAGTAAAGTGGGTAGCCGTGGAGAAAAAATATTGAAAATTATCTTCAGCGTGAATATTAAATGTCGATCAGTCGATCGGGTTCTTTTTCTATTAATTTTCAACCGTGAAAAAAAGCTTTCACATACTCTGCATTGCCAAGCAAAGCGATTATTTTTAACTTTGAAGTTCGTAACTGAGTGTATTTGTTTCATGACAAGTGCTAATAAAAGTTTATGAAATCTGTACCTACAATTTTTTATTACGATTTATAACACATTGTAAATTAATTATCTCAATTTCTTGTTCGTTTTTAATAAAGGGGGAAATAATGTAAAGTTGGACTTCAAAAAACTAAAACTTTGAAATCATTGCTACACCGTATTTGCAACCAAATACACTGGTTATCATAAATTAAGGAAAAATCACAAAAATCACGATTACTGAAAAAGATACATGTAGAGTTTTATGAAACTTACCCACAATATACAACACTAGTAAGGTATCAAATAACATAAAAAGAAATTACCAAACAATTATGGTAATATAGAAATTAGCACATGACTAAAATAAAGAAATCGATGATGTCAGTTTGCTATAGTAAAAAGTACCTTCAATATGGAATATAATCGCCTCTACAAGCAATACAGTACATTCAGCGATGTGTGATGCTTTCAATTATGCGGTCTATCAGTTCCATAGGAGGCGACAGCCATTGATCTTGCAAAGTATTTGCAAGCGCGGCAAGGGTCTAAGGGGGCGGATTGAGAGCAGCTAGACGTCTCCCTAAAGCATCCCAAACGTGCTCGATAGGATTCAAGTCCGGGGATCGAGCTGGCCACTCCATGCGCATAATTGTTTCCTGTTGAAGATAATCATATACGATGCGAGCCCTGTGTGGTCTTGCATTGTCGTCCTGTAACAGGAAAGCATCACCTATTGCCCCGGCATATGGGCGCACATAAGCATCAAGGATGTCATCTCTATAAACATGAGCATTCACGGTTTCCCTTGGAAAAACATGGAAGTCTGTGCATCCACCCGAAGAGATGCCACCCCAAACACAGACACTGCCTCTTCCGTATGCATCTCTTTCACGGATATTTGACAGATGATAACGTGTTCCAGGTTCTCTCCATATCAAATAACGCCTATTATCGCTTTCTAGACTAAACCTGGACTCATTCGTAAAGAGAATAGACCTCCATTTCTCAGGCGTCCAGTGGACATATTGTCGTGCCCACTGCAAACGGTTGTTTGCAGTGGGCAACGCAAATGGTTGTTCGCCTCGCATACAGACCATCTTCGTGAAGCCTTCTACGCACAGTTGACGCTGACACCATCTTTCCGGTGGCTGCAGGAAGGAAAGATCTAAGAAGAGTCGGAGTAGCGGTTCTATTCCTGAGTGCACATAATGACAAATATCGGTCACCGGCGCTCGTCGTAGCAGTTGACCGTCCTTGGCTGAACCTCCTAGGAGCCGAATCTGTGATTTGAAATTGCCTCCAAAGTCTATGAACCACAGAAGGACTCACATTTAGCCATCTGGCCACTTCTGTTTGACTTTGTCCTGCCTATCGTAGTTCTGCAGGCAAATGATGCCTGGAGATCATTGTTACGAATTGGCTATCTCAGATTTCCGATGTCATGTGGGCTTGCTCTCAAACATGAACTCTTATGCTCCTCTCAGATGACGTATTCCGAGTGCATCGTCACTAATTTGCATATGGGAGTTTTACTCGTCTACTCTTACTTGGCAACATATTCATATTTTACACGGTTTGGCTTATTTTTGAGGGAGTTATCGCTATTTTTGTGATTCTTCCTTAATTTATGATAACCAGTGTAACCTTTTCTTCACGTATTATTTTCACTACTCCATTTAAATCGAATTTATTTTAATATAATCATAACTTCGGAGAGAATTAAACAAAGGGAATTTGATTTAAAACTTATAGCTGATAAGTGTTGCCACGTTATTTTTAAACAAAAAAAAAGTATAAGTAATATACAATAACTCGAATAAAATATAAATAATTTTACTCGAGTTTTGAAATATGGTGAAATTGAAGCTTTGCCAGTTACTTTGTTCCGGTATAATTGATGAAAATTTCTTTTTATTTTTCAGATTCCATCATACTATGATATGAGAGACTTGTTCTTTGTACCTTATGACGATGTTAAGAAATACTTGCAACCGATCGAAGAATTTATATCTTACTGCAGATTTTATCTCACGAACGAGACTGTTTTGGACTCCGTCTGCGAGTAAGAATACATTTTTATTTCTTTGCTGCAAAACAAAGCAAAATATTCCTTAGAATACCCATTCATATTTAAATTAATTCTCAACTTCCTTTTTTTCATAATTTACTCTGGAGAATCTGCGGAAATCTTCAGATTTTAGTTCCTTATTTCGATAGAGATTCAAATTTGAGAAGCTGGGAAATTTCCGAAAATTCTCCAATAAACGTTAGATTATTTCAGTGTTTTCGTTTTTACTTCCTTATGCGACGTAATGGAGGAATTGTAATCAAGAAAAATTCCAATGAAAATATCTATTTTGACCGCTATCGAATGCAATTTAACGCTGATTTTGCTTAACATCTGTACATAGACGGAATAAAGGACTTTTTTCCCCAAAACGGATTGTAAAATGGATTCAGAAGAGATATTTTTGTGACGTCTGTACGTACGTACGTATGTGTCTCGCATAACTCAAAAACGAATAGTCTCAGAACGTTGAAAATTTGTATATACGACTGCTATGACATGTAGTTGTGCACCTCTCTTTTCTGGTTGCAATCAGGCCGCAAAGCATTATCGCATTCATATAAGGCTATTTTAATTTTTAAAAGTATGAAAATTCAATTGTGAGCAAGTAAGAGATTAATTATTGCTGCGGAATAATTTGCAATATCATTGAAATTCAGAGAGCATATATAAATTAAGCTCAAGCATCTTAATACACGCCAAAAATATTTAATAATCCATAAATTAATCCTAAAAACTAAAGAATTTTTTAAGACTAAATTATGTTGCATGAAGTGAATAATTGTTGAGCAGGCAGGAGACGGATCTTTTCAAGGGAAAGTTGCCTCCAAACCTAACTCTTCAATTACTCAATTCGTGTTTCGTCATCCATATAAGCATGGGTAGAGATTTATACAAAATCAAGACTAAAACCAAAAGTAGTGAATTGCCTAAATTAGAAATTAGTTGCTTATGAAAAAACGCATATTAATATATATGTGTAATAATAAAATTCCATAGTCAAGAATACACTTAAAATTCTAACTGTATGTTCTTTTCATTTATAATGGCGACGTTCTCTTATTTGAAAGTACGTGTAATTAAATCCACAGCCCCGTAGTCAAGTTGTTTTTCCCGCCTTTTCTACACGTACAGTTTTAGAATGTTCTGGAAATATTTAAAGCGAACTGGATTGGCTGACGAGGCTGACGTTATTTCTTGGAAGCTCCGCCTTTCCAGAGGCTATAAAAGGACTCGCAAAAGAATATCGGGGCTTTTTCTTAAATGTCACGATGCAGTAAACTTCATATAAAAAGTTATTAGTAATTCTTTTTATTTACTCCGGATATCTGATTTTGTAACTGCTATTTCTCCTGAATAATAATAAATGGATCCTGTTTTTTTAAACTTATCGTCTGATAATTTAAGGTACGACTAAAGCTGACACATCACATATATATATATATGTTTATTATAAAATATATGAAGAATAAAATGACGTTTTCTATGTACATAACAAACATTTATTTAAACGACGTTGAACAGCAGAGTAGAAACATGATATTACACAGCGCTTAGCCCTTCTCGCTTACATGCATTACTCACCATTGACTTTGGCTAACTGCCTACTAAGTATAAGTATTACGCAGCAGAGAACTTGCTTATCATGCGCATGCGCTAGGGGAATCGACGTCGGTTGCCAACATACCCCCTTTCGACGTTGATTCTCCTATTCCTGAAAATAAAACAAAAACAAAATACATATTAAACAGTATTCAATCCTACAATTGTACAACAGTTTTGATGTTTAACAGGAGTCAGGGATTTGGTTAACACATCAGCTCCCATTTCACTGGTAGGTATGTACTTCACATCTAATTCACCGCGTTCATACACTTCACGCACAAAATGATGGCGAATGTCTATGTGCTTTGTACGGGAGTGAAACACAGAGTTCTTTGTAATTTTCTGAGCTCCTTGATTGTCGCAGTATATTGTTGTTGGATGTTCTATGTTGTAACCCAGCTCCTTCAGGAAATGACGTAGGTAGACAGTTTCTTTGGCGGCCTCAGACAGAGCCATATATTCCGCCTCCGTTGAAGATAGAGCTACACTGCGTTGTTTTCGTGATTCCCAGGTTATAGCTGAACCACTTAATATATATACAAAACCGGTGTAAGATTTTCTATCATTGACATTTGATGCCCAGTCTGCATCCACAAAGGCGATGAGTGGTTTTCCTGTTTTCGTATAAATTAGTCCTTGATCTTGGGTTCCCTTTAGATATCGAAGTATTCTTTTCGCAGCATGCCAATGTTCTTTTCCCGAATTGTTGTTAAATTGACTTAAGAAATTCACGGCGTATGTGATATCTGGCCTAGTAGCTACTGAAAGGTACATTAATGATCCGATCAGATTTCTAAATGGAACATTTTTCATGTCAGCGATTTCGTTTTCGTTTTTAGGACTCATCTCTTTTGATAATTTTTTGCTGTTATCTATAGGTGAAGACACAGATTTAGCATTTTGCATGTTATACCGATTTAAAATATCATCAAACGTATTTCTTTTGAGAAATTTTAATTGAATTCTCATTTTGGTAAAATTCTATTCCTAAGCAATAATGTAATTTTCCCAAGTCTTTCATTTTGAAAGCAGAAGCTAAACTATCGCGAATCGTTTCATACGTTTGCTTGAGAATCGGTAAAAACGATAAGATCGTCTACATAAACGATTATAATAGTTTCACTGTTAGGCGTCTTTTTAATATAAACACAATTATCTGAATTAAGAGATTTAAATTTCATAGATTTCAGTTTTTCATCCAACTTTTTGTACCACTGACGTCCTGACTGTTTTAAGACCGTATAATGATCTCTTTAAAAGACACACTTTATCTGAATTAGTAGTTTCATCGCGAAAACCTTCGGGAATTTCCATGTAGATTTCTTCATCTAAATTTCCATTTACATAGGCCATTACAAAATCTAATTGGTAACCTTTGAGATTGTGTTCTACTGCGTAGGCTAAAACTGTTCTTATGGAACTTAATCTAGCAACAGGGGAAAAGTTTTCAGTGAAATCGAGACCAGGGATTTGAGCGCACCCTTTAGCAACTAGCCTAGCTTTGTATTTTTCGATAGTGCCGTCATGATTATATTTAATTTAAGAACCCATTTGCTACCAATAACTTTCTTGTTTTCAGGTCTGTTTACTAAATTCCCAAGCCTTTTCCTGAACAAGCGAGTTATATTCTAACAGCATGGCATTATGCCAATTTTCAGCATATGGTCCATTTAATGCTTCTTGCACCGTAGGATTAATGCTTTCCTCAACAACATTTTGAGTTTGTTCATTTTTATTTACAACTGTATAATGATATTCCTTTTTAGGCCTTCCTGGCAAACCTGTTTTTATTTTCTTGGGTCGACCAGGCCCCCTTTTAATCAGGATAGGAAGCATTGATTCGTTATCTAAATCACTTCCGCTTTCCGGTTCAGCTTCAGATTTAAGTGGCGACTCGCTACCGTCCAGAGGTGATGATTCATCACAACATGTTTTATTTATAATTTTTTTCCTCCGGAGCGAAAGGCAGATTTATTTCTTGCTCTGAGTCATAACTACAGCAGTTTTCAAACTCATTAATAAATTTTACGTCTCTGCTTATTATCACTTTACATGCCTCGGGATCCCAAAGTCTATAAGCTTTTGATTCATCAGAATAGCCAATAAAAATACATTCTTTAGATCGAATATCAAATTTGCCTATTCCTGGCCTTTTATTTAGCGAAAATGCTTTTTGGCCAAAGGTTCTGAAGTGAGAGACAGCAGGTACTCTGCCAAACATCACTTCGTAAGGTGTTTTTATTTCGTGTTTTAAACCTCGCGTTGGGCAGCGATTTCGAATGTAAGCAGCCGTATTGACGGCTTCGGCCCAGAATTTCTGAGGCAAATTGGATTGCAATAACAAACATCGCGCCATTGAAACTAAAGTGCGATTTAATCTTTCGGCGACGCCATTTTGGGCTGGCGTGTAAGGAGTGCTCATTTCGTGTTTCATTCCCGCATCATTAAGAAATTAGTATTTAAGTCTTTCCCTAAATATTCTAGCCCGTTATCGGTTCGCAGGATTCTGATTTTAGAGTTAAGTTTATTTTCAAAGGATGCTTTAAAATTTCTGAAAGCTTCTTTAACCTCATCCTTAGACTTCAGAAAATAAGCACGAACATATCGAGATTTATCATCAATAAATGTTGCGAAATAAAATGATCCACCGATTGATTCGGTTCTCATGGGACCACACAAATCAGAATGAATTAGATTCAACAATTCAGTACTTCTATATTCAGATTCTTTGGGAAGAGGGGTTGCGGTTTGTTTACCCTGAATGCATACCTTACAAGTAGAAAGAGAGTCATTTTGAGAAAAAGAAAGACCTCTAACCATGTTATTTATTTGAAGTTTTTTAAGATCATTTTCATTTAAATGCCCAAATCTTATATGCCACTGATCTATTTCTTTAGCAATTGATACAGATTCAAATATTGGCATGACAAAATAAAGATCATTTTCGCGTTTAGCTAAAATTACTATTTCGTTATTAGAATTAATTATTTGAGCACATTTTTCTTTTAAAATTACTGAAAGATTATTTTCAGTTACTTTAGACACTGAAATTAAATTATTTTTCAAATCAGGTACACACAATACATTTTTGAGTTAGATATTTTCAGTTTTAGAACCTATCCGAACTTTAAATTTAACAGTTCCTTTTCCAATAGCTTTAACAGTTTTATCAGCAGCTAATTTAACATAAGTATCACCTACCTCGTGAATTTCTTGAAACAGTTCCTTGCTGTTACACATATGCGATGTTGCACCACTATCCAGACAAAAAATGGCTTTAGAATTAGTATTAGTGCATGCTACGGCTTTTTCTTGCTCCAAGGAATTCTGATATTCTGCAGACATCGCAGTTTCACTGAGGCGTTTGCTTTTAGTTTCTTTATTTTTCTTCATACATTCCGATGCTCTATGCCCATAGATATGGCAGAAGTTGCATCTGTAGTTAACTGGATACTGTCTTCGGTTTGCAGATTTATCTGGTTTCGGTTTAGGAATCGGTCGTTGAGTATACTTCCGATCTTTTGAATAGCACGCATGTTTGTGGTTTCAGAAAACGTTGAATCTTTATTTTTGCGAGCGTTAGCTTCTTCCAACAGTTTAATTTTCAGCATTTTCTGGAGAAGGCAGTTCATCACGAGATTCGATTGCTATTCGAAAGCTTTCATAAGAGTCCGGTATGCTATATAAAAGCAATATTGTAAGCAAATCATCCGCAATGTTTATTTCCATTTCTTTAAGTTTGTCCACAAGAATGAAAAAATCATTTAGATGAACAGTCATTTGTTTAGAATCACTCATTTTTGTAAAAAGCAATTTTTTTAGAATTGTGGCCTTTCTAGCTGGTCCCTTCAATTCGTAAATAGAATGCAATTTACGCCACAGTTCGTGAGATGTTACACAATTCTTTACTTGTGGAAGTTCACTGGGTGAGATGGATAGGATTATATCCGCTCGTGCTTTTTGGTCAGTAGTTTTCCATTTAGCAAATTCTTCATCACCAGGTTCTGGTTTCGGAATTTTCCCAGTTACATAGTCCCAATGATCATTTTTAATCAGTATTGCTTCCATTTGCAACTTCCACGTATCAAAGTTGTCCTTGTTTAGCTTTTCAATTGACGCTGTATTAGTCGTCGCCATTTTCCTTTCAGTCGACGCAGCTTGGCTTGCCGAAAGAATTTAACAATGGTAGTTGCTCTGCACAGTTAAGCGCTATCTGGGCCCATAACCTAAGAAGAATAAAATGACGTTTTCTATGTACATAACAAACATTTATTTAAACTACGAAGACGTTGAACAGCAGAGTAGAAACATGATATTACACAGCGCTTAGCCCTTCTCGCTTACATGCATTACTCACCATTGACTTTGGCTAACTGCCTACTAAGTATAAGTATTACGCAGCAGAGAACTTGCTTATCATGCGCATGCGCTAGAGGAATCGACGTCGGTTGCCAACAATATATATATATATATATATACATATGTAATAAATTCAGGAGCGGGAAGAAATGACCAGGAAATTGGAGGCGAAGACAGATTAATTTTATTTTCGGCAACATGTTGCGGCTACACACAAATCGGCACATTAAATGTGACTGTTCCAAAAGGCTTACATTTTCTATAATTTTGTAGCAAGAAAGCAGCAGCAGACAGACGACAGTGTAGCTAGGCCAAAGCGTGGAAAGCAAGTGCGTAATGTTTAGGATGAAATCTTAAGTGAAAATGAGTTAGTTTTGGTTCTCAAAGCATTTTGATTGGATGATTAATATTGCTGTAAAATTATTATTGGCTGTTAAATGTTTTAGTTCCGTTTACATCATCATAATTACGTAAGAATCATATGACATAGATTTTTCTCGAAATGACGCAATGCAGAGAGAGATTACTATTTTTAGAATAAATGGAAATTAATTTACGCTGCTAATTTAACTTTAACATATTCTTTACTTTTCTTACATATTCCCCCCTTTCAAGAAGAAGAAGGCGTAGCGACAGAGAAGCCTTTTTAAAGAAAAAGCGTTAAAGCACTAGTAAACGAAAAAAAAAAAAAAAAACATAAATCATAAAATTTTAATCCTGTTAAGTATAATTTATAAATATCAAATTTTTTAAAATAATTTTTTAATTTTTAGAGTCATATTGAATTTTTCAGCATTTCAGTCCAAAAGTCTCTTTGTTTCAGAGTTCAAATAATCATAATTCTTCAGGGAAGGTTCTTGTTTTAACATATTCTTTATTTTTCTTACATATATATATATATATATATGTGTGTGTGTGTGTGTGTGTGTGTGTGTGTGTGTACTTTTTGCTTTAAAATGATTTAATTATGCTGTTCTTATCTTTCAGTTAAGGTTTTTATGCCTTTTGTTAATTTGCATGCAATAGTTGTAGAACTAGCATTAATTTAGAAGTAGTTTCAGTGCGGCTAAGCCTAATTTTTTCCCCTACCAGCCATATTTGTTTATATTTGAAACTTTGCAGAATAGTTTCTACACCTTCAGAATCTTTTTGCCGAATGGGACCCAAAGTAAACTTTCAGTTTTGTTCACCGAAAAATCTGTCTTCTTACCTGCTGGCCGAATTGCTTATTTTTGCGAAGAAACTGTAATTTTAATTATAAAAGTAATGCATGAAATAAGTTTCTAAGCAGCTCGTAGCTAAACATCCTATAGCTAAACTATATAGTGTCAAAAAGAACTTTTATTAATTACACTAATTTGGTTGTTTGGTTTGGTTATTATCAGATTACGGTAAAGCCTCGAGGTCTATCAGCCTAAAAGTAGGGATGCCTTCGTGGAGGACTCTCTAAGGGTAATTGAATCATATGCACGTTACAGATGGGCAAAACCACGAAAACGCCCATGCGGCCAGCACGTTTGCGGAATTCAAACCTCGGACCGAATTACCGGTGCTCAGCGACTTTACTGCTTGGCCGATGGTTGGACTACACTAATTTTTAAAACTTTCTAAATTATATATGCATATATATATGTGTGTGTGTGATAATAATATCATAATTGACATAATGTATTCACTATGTATTTACTTTTGGTTTGACTTTTACCCTTGCCTGCATGAATGACGACACACGAATTGAATGATTGTGGAGTTAGGTTTGGAGGCAACTTCCCCTTGATAAGTCTATCTCCTGCCTGCTCAACAGCCATTCACTTATGCATTTTTAAAAAAAATTTTTAGATTAATTTTAATTTGCTAAATTGGTGAATTTATTTTCATAGTTTGGTTTTGCACTTCATTTACTTATGCTATCTGAATTTAAATGATATTGTAGATTAGTTTGAAAATTAAATCTTCTATATATTTGCCCTTTTTTTAAATTATTTTAATAAATTTGCTTTTTACGTATATACATGTTTGTTAAAATTTATATATATATATATATCAAGGGGAAAGTTTAAGAATTATGCACTGCATTTCCTCGTATATTCCCTCACATTTTTATGCTAATTTTACTATCTGAAAAGTAAGTAGGGAAAATAAAGTGAACAAATTAATTCCCAAGGGTGCATTTGCAGTAAGAACATAACAAATGAAAATGTTCACGGAGAAACTACACAGTCCTACAAGTAACTGTCACAGTATTATTTCCTTAACAGAAACTTTATTTATTGGAATAAGAAAACATAGTGATATTAACATTACATGATATCTTCATTTCTACTTCCGTGTAACTTGAATCTCGCCAGTTCATACTGTTGTCTTTGCTACTCTTTAGGCCTCAAATCATCCGTAAGTCGTTGCAGAAGGTAAATGTGCGGTTGTATGTTTTATAATTGTTAAATTCATCAATGTGATACTGTCACACTATAATTTTAAAAAACTGAAATTCCTGAATATTGAACTTTTGAATGCAATTTATACATAAATTCTAAGATATGTAAGTTCCAATAATGCCTCTAATGACTCGAAAATGAATTAAATATTTTAATGAAAAGGTTTTCTTTTAGGTGCTAGCGGTGTAATTAAGTGTTATTCTCAATTCCTTACGAGGGCCCACCAGCGGCCGAGCGGTAAAGTCGCTGAACACTGGTAGTTCGGTCTGAGGTTCGAATCCCGCGAACGGGCTGGCTGCATGGGTGTTTTCGTGGTTTCCCCCATGTGTAACGTCTGTACGAGCCAGTTTCCCTTAGAAAGTCCTCCACGAAAGCATCCCTTTCCTTAGGCAGATAGCACTCGAGGCCATAATCACAGACAATTCCTTACGAAATGCTTTATCCATTGCACTTTTGTTTTCTAGTTCATATAAATTTTTATATTAGCTTTTAATTAATTTTCGATTATTTTTTTTGTTTGCAGTCGTAGTTATTATCGAAACACGAGATGTTCCGGTTTGATTGAAAGTGCAATTCCCTCTTGTTTTACCATTAATACTCGTTTAGGAAAACCATATGCTAAACAACCTGAAGTTCTCTCCAATGGATGTAAGTAGCTATTTCGTTTATTATTAATAATTGTTAGTTAATTTAAAAACATAATATTTACATACACAAACTAATCTACCAGTTGCTATACGTGTCGGTATCTTTTTAAGGAATATTTTTTTATTCTCACTAACTGTTAACCTGAGAGAAATATGCCACAGTAAAAACATAGAATTAGGGCTGAAAAATGAATTTCTCAGATAGGTACAGTAAGACCCCGCTTAACGCTGTTTCGGTTTAGCGCTCTTTTATTTCAACCCGGGGATTCTCCGAAATTGTGCGCAGCGCTAGGTTTCCAAATAACATATCCGAAACAGTGTAGTTGTGTTTCTTGCTTTTTAATCATTTGAAACAACATTTGTTGACATTATTGTAAATTTGATATATAATACTATAACGATTAATAATACAGTGACAAATATTATGATCTTTAGTTTTTATCATGGGTGATAATACGAGTAAAACACAAGAAAAGAAAGCAACCAGAAAAAGCATTTCACTGGAAACTCAAATGCAAGTGATTAGATTCTGGTGAACGTCAATCTCAAATTAGCGCTGCATTGATTTTTGGCAACTTCAACAATAAGGACAATTCTTAAGAATAAAGAAAAAATACTGTCATCGGCAACTGCAACTACGTCGAGCTCTGCAACTAGAATTACACGTTCTAGAAAATAACATAATAGAGGAAATGGGAAAATGTCTCTCTATATGGATTGACGATGAAATTGAACGCAATATGCCATTAAGCCAATCTATCATAATGCCTTCTTGACAAAAAGGCAGAAAACTGGAAACACAGAATAGAGTGAATGGTCCCACTGACTTAGAATTTTATTTGTTTTTATAAGTATATTCGTTTATATTGTTTTTATTTTTGTAAGAAATAAATGTTTGATTTTATTTTTATTAAAAAAAACATTATTAAATTTAATGCCTAACCATTTTTTATCCGTCTTCCCCTAACCCCATTATTTACATGTTAAGATAGCCTCGCTTAGCGGTGTTTCGCATTACGCTCTACTTCGATGGAACGTATCCCCCGCGTTAAGCGGGGTCTTACTGTACTTACATACTAACGCATCCGCCGTGATGAAATAAAGTGACATATGTCATCATTCAGTGCCATTGCGAAACTTACAAATTTAGAGGACATGTTCACTAAAGACTTCTTTAATAAATGCGACATATAATTATCAGATATGTTTCTCTTTTGGCGCGTTTGTTATGGCACATTTTTGCTTAGAGGTTTAGTCACCAGTAAAACTGACAAATTCTAAATTACAGATACGAAATTATTTAAATTATCTTAAAATATTTTGCTATCATAAAGAGAAGGTCTGATTTATAAAACCTCATAGTAGAGTAAATATGAAAATTTAATTTCCTTAAAAAAACAGATAAAAAATTTAAGTGTCAAATATATTTTCAAACTAATGAGTTTTGTTTCTCTTAATTAATTCTATCCTTTCAAAGTTTTTGTGTTTCAAGAAATGCAGAAAAGCATTAAATTTAAAAGACATTTCTAGAATGAGACTACTTTAAGCAAAATTCCTCAAATTTCGTAAATGGCTTTAAAGAAATTACATTTATTTACTCATCCAACGAGACCTCTCGTTGGAAAACATGCCGGGAAAATTCGATTCACATTTTAGGATAAAAAGAAATGATTCTCCTCCTATGTTAAAAGTGAATCTAATTTTTATCCTTTCCCAACTTTTTGAACAATTTTTTTATTCAATAATATAGTTTGCGAGATTTGTTTATTTATTTTTAACTAATAGTTCATTTTAATTTAGTTCAGTTAGTTTTAGAGCGAGTCTGCCTATTCCAGGTCACGTTATGCTGTGATTATTAGCGACTTAGTGGCAATGAGTGTTTCTAGCCATTTGGCTTTGTCTCGCCAGATTTCTACAAACCAGAACCTTGCCTGCACGTTGAATTAATTATCCTGTGAGTCGTTAGGCTAATGTACCACATTTTAAACTTGTTCATCATTACGTATTTCTGTTGAGCCAGAAGTGCTTGGATTTGTGTAACAAGTTGGATAAATTGTTGTGTTCAAATAAAAGGGTCTCATACACCTTTTCTTCTGATTTTTGTTTTATTTCACGAGGCTAGACGATAATTCTTCAGGAGCCCTTTTTTAAAGTCTATAGTGTATGTTCCTAAGAGATATAGACTTTATAACCTCTGTGCAGTTAGTTATGTGTAGAAAGGAGGTTTTAGGGAATCTCAAAGTGCAGTTGAAAGAAATCAGTCCATAGAGTTTTCGATTGAGTCGATGTTCTTTATCAACCGATTCTTTCCGTTCTTCGCTTCATCTGTGCATATTACACTTGATTCACTCCCCGTTCACGATCTTATTCTTTATTTTTAGTGAAAGGTGATCGTAAAAAAGAACAGATTCAGTTAGTGAACAATTCTGATGCTATACTATAAAGCAGGGGTTTTGCGTACCTGTAGTGTTTCGAGAAGGAGACATTGAACTGTGACCTCCTACTTTCTGTCAACCTACTACTGGACTCCTGCAGGGTGGGGTCTCAATAAACCACACAGGATTTGGAGACAAATGAATCGACCTCATCTGATAACTGACTTATCACATTACTTAGCCCGTTAGAAGGCTTAGCTCATGTCTAGTACAGCCCTCCAGAACCCATACTGTACGATAACAGATCTCAGCCAATGCAAAAAACGACCCAGTGGTTGATGGAATTCAATAAATCTTACAAACAATATACATAAAAAAGGTAAACAAATCCTACTGCTAAAAATGTGACAATTTGTGTTTCATATCTTATGCCTGTAGTTCCAATCTTTGATTTATATTTAATTTCTGAAGCATGTGCTAATTTCAGTTATTTCTCTTGTAGATGTACTTATAGAATTAAATGTGAATGGCAGAGACTACACGAATAAGTTTATGAAAATCTCCACTCAGATTTCTTTCCATCACTCCAGGACAATGAACAATCCTTACATTTATGGCTATACTATGTACCCCACTAAAAAGTACATTTTCCGCATGAAAAGAGTAAGCAAAGTATTTTTGTTTTCGTTTCTAATATTTCTTACCCCAATACCTTCTAATATTTCTTATATTCTTAATATTACACTAATATTTCTTAAAGTTGCACACATTTTGCAGAAATTTAACTTTCGGGTCGTTTATTCTCCCATCAATAAAATTCCGAGTTCCATACTCAAGGACCCCATTCCGGATATGAATTCCTTGGTTTAATTTAGATTGGCCGAACTAAGAGAGCCTTAAAATTTCGCGTCAAGGAACATAAGGCATATGTTAAGAAAAGGAAACACAGAGGTCTTCTGTTGCTCAATATTGTTGGTCCGAAAATCACACTTTCAATTTTTCTGCTGCCAAAATTATTCAGAAAACATCTTCCATTGGAGAACTGGATTTTCTAGAGGCATTTCACATTCAAAAATATCTTTCTGTTCTAGTTAACGATCATAATTCCAATTCATCTTTGCCTTCGGCCTTTAAAGAAATTATGTTTTAGTTCTGGTTTCACCAACAGATGGCGCCACTTGCTTATTTTTGTCCAAGCTTTCTTATCTTATCTAATCATAATTTCCTATCTTGTTTATTTGCGGTTTTGCAGCTGAGGATGGTGGTTCGGTGAAACCATCGAAATTAGCCTTGTGAAAATTTTGAAAATTTTGAAATTTTTCACAGGCTGATTTTTGTTGAACTGAACGCTGATTTTTGTTGTTTGACTTCTGAATTAGTATTTCTTACCCATTTGCAAAGGAATGCCTTTTTTTTTTTTTTTTCCTGCGAATGTAGCGAGAGTCTGAGTAGTACTAATGCATTATGTTATTTTCTTTTAATTTATTTTATTCCTATTTTAATCTACGTTATGTGCCTTAAAAGTTTCAAATTTGTTTTATGTGTGTTTTGTAAATGCATGCTTGTTGCTGTAGTTTTTCAAAATGCGATTGGAAGATGATAATGGGCTAAATTATTTATGTAGAAGTATTTGCAATTTATGAATTTTTTGCTACGCAAATGTCACATTACAACTTTAATATTAACTAAACAGTCCGCATGATGTTGTGTAGCATGTTTAAAAAATATTGCAAGATAATTATTTCTTAAACCGTTTGTTGTAGATCCAGTTTAAAGAATGAATCATGTTTATAACTATACCTATAGATTGCAGTATTTTTAGACATATTAATGAGATACATAATTTAAGACATATTAATGTCTTTAAAATAACAAAAATAAAAATTGAAAAAAAAAAAAATCTGAAAGATTTCAGATTTTATATAACGCTCAAAGGGACAATTTTTTAACGTTTTGTGTGTTACCTTTATCATGTTCTTCGCACTTAAACTATAAAATTCAATTCAACAGCAATATCACAATATATTTAGAAGAGCGTATCTTTAGAATTACCGATACGAGCGCTGAAGATAATTTTTTTTTTTTTTTTTTTCGTATAATTTTGCCATTGCTCGCTTTGAAATCGTCGAGTTTGTTAATAAAAAATTCTTAAATGTTTGACAAAATAGGAAATCGATAATAAAACAAATTCCAAGTTTGGGCTTCCAGATGCTCATATTCGAAGAGAGGACTACGTTATTCAAAACTGCATGTCTCTAGGTACCTTTGTTTTATTTCACAGTGCGAGAAACCTACATAGATACATGCAGATTCTTCATTATTTACTTTCTTTAAATATAATGTAGTTTATGTCCAGATAACTAAACTAATAACTAATAACTAAAAGTCCAGATATTTGATATTTATGCAGTGTCCTGATATTTGGTGGCAGCAATTAGAAAAGTGAACAGCTCATGTATAGTGAATCAACCCAAAATGAAATTAATAGCCCTATTGGGAAAATTGATCGTTTCAGCTAATAGGTTTGAGAGAAAAATAACAAAACGAATTTGGGCAAACCAGAATTATTTCCTTAACAACACAAAATATAGACCAAATAAGTAGTTTTTTTATTAATATATCAAAGTTCATACCATAGGCATCCCTGCCAAACCCATAAATCTTGATTTTTTAATGTTTGCCACATTTTTTGCATACATTTTCTACGCAATTTTTATATTTTGCCAAAAAAGAGAGATGCATACAGTATGAGGCGAAATTATTAGAAATACTAACGAAGTCTTTCTTCGAAAGTTCCAAAATGAAACTCTTACTGAGGCTCTGAACGCATTTTCACCGAAACAAAGACTTCGCTGTTTCCTGTTTTGGCGCCTGTGCAAGGTAATCTTATATGCAACTGCACGCAATTATATTTTTATGATTCTAGAATCGTTTTAAAAATTATATTTACATAATTTTTAATAATAACAGAAAGCTGCTCAACGGTAAATGCATGGATCTGCATGAAGAATTCTTCAAGTGAAATACCTTAAAGAGTGAAATGTAACGAGCTATTATTTTTCGACATACTAAATTATAGAGAGGTTCTATAAAGAAGTTGCTTTGAAATTGCCTAATGGACGGATTTAAACTTAAACTGATTATGAATAATTTGCTTTCTACGCAACAGGTCATTCATAAACGTCTTCCTCCTCCCTACGAGACACAATGCCTTGATTATTTTGAGATGTGGAAAGCAAGAGGCGGCCAAGGACCTACAAATGAAAGGGTAGGTAATACTCCTTCTTTTTCTCACCTAAGAATGGAATTTTTTTTGTTCCTATGAAAAGCACAAACTCAAAAATGCAGTATGCTTCCCTCAGAACAATCAGGTTAAAGTAATACTGCACGAAAATAAATGTTCCTGGGTTTATAAAATATTAATTATACACAGAGTATTTGAACAAAGAGGTTACAAGCTTTCAGGAGAAATAAAGTACACACAGACGATGGAAAATACATAGCAATGCATGATCAGAAACGCTTTCCTGGCGCGGAAGTGACGACATAAGACACAGGAAAGAAAGGACACGAATAGGATCAGAATGTATTGTTCAGTTCATTTACGGGTTCGTGGATTTGGAGGGATTGACGATAACACTTGATGAAGTATCAAAATACAATTTATTTGCCAGTATTACTCAGGACAGCTCCAAAAACACATTAACAGTCGTCGAAAAACTACGACAAACACGCTGAAACAATCAGCAACACAGCTTTCAGGCTATCAGGTTGTAACGGTGAAGACAGCTTCACGGCAAAGCACTAGACTACAGATCCTGACTCTATTCGGTCGTTCTCGGAACTAAACGTACTCTCGAGACTCTCCACGCTACAACTAGCAATGCACTCGACGATACACTCGATAGCCTCAACGATGCACCAACTCGCCGTACACTCGACGCCTAACTCGGCACTAAACTAGAGATACTCGATCGACTCGCAATCGACTCAGAGACCCTGATGAAACACTAGACAAGACACACACTACTCCGCGCACCAGCAGGGTTTATATAGCTTTTGGGCTGATTTCGAGAACGTTCTGGGCTAAACCGGTAAGAACTTGTTCTAGAAGGTTCTCCATCCGTCTATGGCTTATCGCCAATTTTGTCGCCAAAAGAGCGATTTATTGCCAAATATGGAAACTCTGCTTTCCCTTGCCATTTTCTGCCAACCCGAGACTCGCTTTGTGGGGAAGCTACCTTACCGCAGCTCGACATTTCGTAAATGTTTACTATACTTAGTGCAGCGGAAACCAAGAAATAAGGGGAAAAAATCCGCTCCGTGAACTAAATCACATTACGGGTCCACTCCTCCTTTGGGCACCTCGTGGAGGTTCAACCTCCACTATTCCAGGGTAGCAGCGCACCACCTGGGTATGACACCAGGCACCACTGGTCGTCAATTGCTCCTGCCAGTCGCATGGGCGAGCACGTCGCAGTGGGCTGTTACCCAGCAAACCGAGGGGAACTAGCCCTCCGGCTACGGTTCCACACCGCTCAAGACATGCCAGACCCCGAGGCCAGCCAATAAGTGACCTTTCCCAGGGCCTTCAGAACCACCAAGTTCATAAATTTTATACCCCGTGGCCGAGACTGCGTAGGTACAGATCCTAGCCAGTAGCTTCGCAGAATTCTCTACGTCGATCCTCGGGGGGGGGAGGAGTACAAAAACAGATGATCGTCATCAAAGGAGGAGTTCGAAATTACGTTCCAAATGTATCCTCAACATAGGATCGGCAGGGGTGGTCCGGCGCATTGGCCAGCAAAATCGCCAGACCTCACTCGCATTGACAGTTTCTTCTGGGGGTACGTCAAGGCACCGGTGTACTAAATCCCTGTTAGAAGTGTTTACAAGTATTGCACGCACAGTGGCAGCCACTGGAGAAGTCCGGATAAGATCTTCCATGTGCCGGAGAAGTGAGATTCTGGGGTCCTGCATCAGGGTCCGGATCCGTAATTTCGAACACCTTCTTTGATGACGATAGTTATCTATTTGTTTCTCATTTCTTGATTTCTGCTGTACTGAGCAATAATGAACATATGTCTCTCCATCCTGTTCTTCCATTCTTGGGCCCACCAGCGGCCGAGCGGTAAAGTCCCTGAACACTGGTAGTTCGGTCCGAGGTTCGAATCCCGCGAACGGGCTGGCTGCATGTGTGTTTTCGTGGTTTTACCCATGTGTAACGTGTATACGAGCTAGTTTCCCTTAGAAAGTCCTCCACGAAGGCATCCCTTCCCTTAGGCCGATAGCCCTAGTGTACTTTGCCATAATTAAGTACAGCACACCTTTCATTCTTGATTTTTGTGTTGTCACTACAGCCTCAGGAAAGCGTTTCTGACCATATATTTCTATGTGATTTCCCATCGTCTACGTGTATTCTATCTGTCCTGAAAGTCTGTAACAGAACACCTTATACAAACTGTCATTTCCGTCGACCTGTTGAAAGAATTTACAAGGTGGCTAAATTTGGAAATTTGAAACTTTGCAGGAGTGTACCACGTGATGCATATAGATGTAGATACAGAATTAGCGGATAAAGAGGAAGGAATAACTTTAAAAATTCAATATAACTCCAATGATTTTGCAACTTAGAACGTGTAGAGGGTTTTTATTTCGTTAAACCTGTGATATCTTTAAAATTCGGAACTGCCTATTTCTCAAAAATATAAATTTAAATAGGAAATGTGATAGAAAATGGGGTATAGAAATGTTGGTGCTTTCATTTCAGAGATACATAGAAAAAATTAATAATTTGTGTGATCGCACCTGACCGAAATACAAGCTTTAGACTGATTTTCTGTGGCGAGTATTAGGTTGTCGGGCAGTACTACCAGTAACAAAATATTCTCAAAATGAAGTCCTTTGTGAAATTCTCCCTTAAGCATGAAGACGTCTTAAAGACTTTATCTTGTCTTCTTCATTCACAGACGAGGAAGCAGCAGAAGAAAACTTACACGAATATGTGTGCTAGACACGAATATTTATATTAGACTACTGTATTACACGAATATGTGTACGTAGACATTCATGTTGATTGATTCGCTGTCGTAAATTATTCAACAATTACATGAAAATGGATTAAATAATATCATCCAAGATTTTGTGAAAAGTATTGTTTCTTTCCGGGTATATATGTCTAGGGAAATGCATTAATGGATTTTTATCTCTCGGATATTACTATAAAATGTAATAAAAGAAATGTAAATTAATATTTCATATCTTCTTCCCTTGATGTAAATATATATATATATATATATAAAGAAACCCATGCGAATTGCATAATTAACGAATTACGAATTACGTAACTAAAGAATTGCAAACTATAATGTTATATTGAGACTATAACATTATAGTTATGCAACTATAAGAAATACGTAAGAAAAACGTAAGAAATGAGGGATCGTAGACCCTCGGACTTGCCTCCCGGGTCATCAAAATTCGGGGGGGGGAGAGAGGAACTCAGCTAAGTCGTACTGTCACCTGTGTGAGTCCCACGTTTTGATCATACGGAGCTGTGCCTTTATGATGATGACTGTCACCTGTATGGTGCTCTAGCCAATAACAGGCTGTCTTTGCCACGATGAATTTCGTGGGCTTGTTCTGATGCGTCAGACAAGTCACAACACAGAATGGTGAATACTGGTTTGGGTTCGAACCTAGGCGAACGGGCTGGCTGCATGGTCGGTTTTCGTCATTTTTCTAGTGTGTAACGTAATAAGGGCTGGGTTTCCTTAAAAGTCATTTACTAAGGTATCTCTCCCCTTAGGCAAATAGTAGCTGTCGTGGCTTTGCCATACTGAAATAAAATGACATAATCATATTCAGAAAGGAAGCTTGGCCAGAAGCTTACGAGCGTTTCAGCCTCCAGGAAAATAGATAGCTTCTCAACCCCTCGCTTTTCGCAGAGCAAGTTAATGCAACTAAAGACTTCTTCTTTTTATTGCCTTTTACATTACACTTCCAATTTAACATTTGACCACCAGCGGCCGAGCGGTAATGTCGCTGAACACTGGTAGTTCGGTCCGAGGTTCGAATCCCGCGAACGGGCTGGCTGCATGGGCGTTTTCCTGGTTTTCCCCATGTGTAACGTGTATACGAGCCAGTTTCCCTTAGAAAGTCCTCCACGAAGGCACCCTCCCTTAGGCAGATAGCCCTCGTGTGCTTTGCCATAATTAAATACGCCAACGCCAATTTAACATTTTTATGACATTTCATATAACGAGTTTTAGGGTTATTTTGTCGTTTGTTGTTGCGGCTAATCTCTTACGTCTGACCTAACAAAACAAACCACGTATTTTTTCGTGGCAAGGAGTTCAAGTGACATTTGTTGTTGGCATGAGCTTGAGCACCCTAAGGTGGCAATGAACCAGAGGAAGGGGCTTCCAGACCTGGCTAGCTCGCGGCCGCCTTACGCGGTTAAGAACGCCCAACTTCCAGAGGATATACAACAGGGCGCCACTTCCTTCGGTAAACTCAGGGGGCTTCAAATATCTCAGAGTGTGAGTTAAATTAATCAACGCTTATAAATCAAAAGGCAAAACACGTACAAAGTCAGACACCATCCGTCTCCAAGTGTTGACCGAGGGGATCCCATCCGCCTCGAACAACCTGCGATATCTGACGACGTAACGTCCCCACAACCAAGGGGACCAAGACTGTATGGTCTCTACCAAGCCTGAGCCTACCACCGAATAAACGATGGTTCTAGTCCTGTGAAAACTGTTTATTTAAACCAGAAGTCGAAGATGCCTAGACATTGATCTAGCCAGTTTACTGGACAGAACCCCGGGTTGCTTCCCATAAAATGGTCGATTCCGAAAATTCCAACCCAGCCGACCCCAAGGGTGGTACCCGACATAATCATCCCAGGCGAAACTGGTTACCGGGGTGGGGGCATGAGGAGGCCTAGGTCGGATAGTAACAGAAGAGACTATGTGGTACCCGTCAGTGCCCCGGCAGCTGCACCAACTCTCAGAAGGTCCATATCGAACCCGGGTCTCCTCCCATAGAACAGCCGGTTCTGGAAATCCAGTTCTTCAAAACTTCGAGGGAGTACAACTACCCTACCTGCCCCCTAAAGGTCACAGTTCCGCCCCGAGTTTGAAGGAGAGTATCCCAGAAAACGGACACACCCCAGTTCACTTATCATCAATCCACTCGAGATATTTTCTGGCTCGACGTGTATTCTGAATGCTCCCATGGAGCACAAACACTATACCATTTAAAAACAAAATTCCATGCCTCCTCCGGGATTCGATCCCAGGTCCTTAGGTAGGGCAGACAGCGTCATTAACCACTACACCGTCTGGGAAGGAGAGTTATTTTAGATTAAGTTTACGGAAGGATACTTTTCGGTTTGAAGTAATTATTGAGGTTTAAGGATAATGGTTTTCTTTCGTCTTAGGAATGTATCGAGGAATGCCAGAAAAATGCCAGCTATGAACTAAACGGTTGCTTAGAAAACCACTTTAAGGTTCCCAGTAACGATCGCAGATGCGAAGTAACATGTGAGTATGTCACCCAAAATTTTTGTTTGCTCAAATACTTTTAAGAGAAGAGTCATTTTTATTAATAACACGAAATAAAGTACCTTTTCACGCACAAATATTGACTGAATGCCGAAAAATCTGTTCAAATATTTTAAAATTATTTTTCTTTCAGTTAGAAATCCTGGCACGTTGAAAATTATTCAGAAATGTGCAAAAGAGAACTGCAGGCCAGCTTGTTAGTAAGTCTGATTTCGTATATAAAATATCACAGAAATGTAACGTCTCAATGATCACGAAAGTCTACCCTAATCATTTGGGAATATAATCAGAATTTGAATTACTAATTATTTCATTTTCAACACATCTTTGTTGATCTTGTGACAACACAGGAGCACAAAGAAGATTTTAATCCGAATTTCATTCTTTCTAATATATATCGCATTTATAAAAATTAACACTTAAAAAAAATGTATTAAGAACCCATTCATTTACAATACCTGAGTGCAAGAAATCACTTATAATTTTTTCAGGAGTAGTTGCAACTTTCATCGTCATATGACAACAATCCACATTTCATTTTGTTTCGCCGTTTGTAAATATTTTTCTAATGATAAAGGAACCTTTTATTTAGTTATTTCCTCAAATGCCAGTCCATCAGCAGCCAAGTGGTGAAGCCACTGAAACCTGGTAGTTCGACCTGTATCCAATTCCAGGCGAACGAACTAGCTGCATAGGCATTTGCCATCTACTCTGCGCAAAAGAAAAAGGGACATTTTGTATCTTCCGTTCCACTAGGCCACTGACGAAATTCAAACAGAGTTTTTTTCCTGTTTCGAAAGCGCAACTTAAAAATATATGTTAGATTTATATATAGCATTGTTCTAATATAAGTATTTTGACACAAAATCAGACTTTTTTCTGAAAAGACAAGCCACGTTTTTCCCATATTTCTGTTTTTCGATTCAAATTATACCTAAATATTAAATTTTGTAAAATTTGGTGCGAAATTTAAGGAGAAATTTAAAAATTTATCTTGGCCCATTTTTTTTTTCAGTTTGCGCCAAGTTCACTTGGCGAACTTCTTTGTAGAGTCATTAGGATGTTTTTAGAGGTCGAAAAGATGAAAAATAGCAAACACCTGAGACGGAAATCAAACCACGGACCTCTGGAATACCGGCCTAGCGTGCAGAGCCACTACACCACGAAGGACGCTAGGACAGTGGGAGAAATACCTTATATAATCCTCTTTTTAAAGGGCGGCTAGGGTTTTAGGGGACCTAGTCGCCAAATCCTGGGTGGGGAGAATCATCATCCATAACCCATTTTTAGTTCGGGCGCCACTTTAGAGACATTAGGATTTTTTTAGAAGCAGACAAGATGAAAAATAACAAATGCCTTCGCCGGGAATCGAACCACGGACCTCTGGAATACCGACCCAGTGTGCTACCGTTACACCACGAAGGCTCGTTGGAAAGCAGGAGAAATACCTTATATACTCCCCTTTTTAAAGGGCGACTAGGGTTTTGGGGGACCTAGTCGCCAAATCCTGGGTACGGAGAATCATCATCCCCAACCTTTTTAGTTCGGGCGCCACTTGTAGAGTCATTAGGTTAATTGGAAGCAAAAAGATGAAAAATAGCAAACGTCTTCGCTGGGAATCGAACCACGGACCTCTGGAATACCGGCCCAGCGTCCTACCGTTACACCACGAAGGCACGCTGGATAGTGGGAGAAATAACTTATATCTTAACTTGTAGCAACTTATTGTCTTATCCTTATTTTTTTTTTTTTTTTTTTTTTTTTTTTTTTTCAGTTGCAAACGAACTGAACAAAAAGTCATTGTTCATTATTTCGAGTAATTTTAAAAGTGCGTAAGCCACATTTAACGTTATCATCGCTTATAACAAAAGACAAATTCAAACGCGCCACTATTTTAATTCACCCATTCCTAGGAAATTTTGATAAAAACTCTAATTTTTTTGCAGGTATGCTTAGAAAGCAATCTACTTTAAGATGACATAAAACGTTTATAGGTTATAACTTCAAATTGTTTTCGAAACATTTCTAAAAATTGTTTTAAAAACAAATTAAAAAAAAAATAGGAGAATTTTATTTGAAATGAACGTAAATTTCGAATCCTGGAAGAAGGAATCAAGTAGGTTTAATAAAAAAATATTAACAAAGATATATCAAATTCAATTAACATTGAGGAGCTAAAATTTTGAGAGCTAAGTTTTTAAAAACTACTCGTGCGATTTTTACAACATTTGGCAGTTTGGCATAATTTGAGTCGTAGAATTGAAATATGAAAATAATATTGGTATGTTATTTCCGAAACAAATTTTGTGTCAAAATAACAATTAGAAAAAAATAACAATTAGAATGTGTCAATTAGAACAACGCTATATATAAATCTAATACATATCCTAAGTCGTGCTTTCGAGATATGAAACACGCAAGTAGAATTTCATTAATCGGCCGAATAGAACCGGAGATATAGAACTGGCTCCCCTTCCCCTCTTTTTTTAAAGCTACGAACTAACTTCCCTTCAAGAAGGCACCCCTTCCCTTATGCAAATTGTCCTAGCGCGCTTTAGGGCCCACCAGCGGCCGAGCGGTAAAGTCGCTGAACACTGGTAGTTCGGTCCGAGGTTCGAATCCCGCGAACGGGCTGGCTGCATGGGTGTGTTTTGGTTTCCCCATGTGTAACGTGTATAACGAGCCAGTTTCCTAGAAGTCCTCCGACGGCAGCCCTCCCTTAGGCAGATAGCCTTAGTGGCTTGCCATAATTAAATACACCACATTAGCGCGCTTTACATAACGAAATAACCAAAAGAACCGGAAGGTGTAAAAAGGGGCTATGTGACAAACATCAAATTTTACAGAAGCAACTTCCTCACAAAAATGTCAGATGTTCGAAAAACGGTGAATTACATAGATCCTAGTTAAATCGATCGCATAATTTTTTGCTGTTGACATTATGCGGAATAGCATAGTTTTCTTTATTCTCTTTAGCAAAATGGCTTTCGCCCAAGGACTATTGGTCCCAAAACGGCATTTTGCGTGGAATCATTCAAAGGCTACTAGTTTAGGCTAATCATTCAAAGGCACTACTTTAAGGCTAATCATTCAAAGGCACTACTTTAAGGCTAATCATTCAAGCCTACTTTAAGCTAATCTTCAAACGCACTACTTAGTAATCATTCAAAGGCACTACGTTGGGCTAATCATCAGAGGTACTATAGGGCTAATCTTCAAAGTCACTATTTTAGGCTAATCATTCAGGTACTACTTAGACTAATTATCAAGGCTACTTTAAGGCTAATCATTCAAAGGCACTACTTTAAGGCTAATCATTCAAAGGCACTACTTTAGGGCTAATCATTCAAAGACTACTTTAGGGCTAATAATTCAAAGGCTACTTTAGGGCTAATCATTCAAAGACACTACTTTAGGGGTAATCATTCAAAGGCACTACTTTAAGGCTAGTCATTCAGACGTACTACTTTAGATTAATCATTCAGAGGTACTACTTTAGATTAATCATTTAAAGGCTACTTTAGGGCTAATCATTCAAAGGTTACTTTAGGGCTAATCATTCAAAGGCACTACTTTAGGGCTAATCATTCAGAGGTGCTACTTTAGGGCTAATCATTCAGAGGTGCTACTTTAGGGCTAATCATTCAAAGGCACTACTTTAGGGCTAATCATTCAGAGGCACTACTTTAGACTAATCATTCAAAGGCTACTTACTACTTTAAGGCTAATCATTCAAAGGCACTACTTTAGGAATGCCGTTGTCAAGCCCATCCGGCCCTGGGGTTTTGTTTGGTTTGAACTTTTTCGTTATAAGTTCTTTGGACGTCGGAGAAGGCTCTTTGTCTGAGACACTCGACAGATAGTAATATTTGATGCTTGTAAGAATTTTCTTCTGAACAGTGGTATCTATGTTAGGGTCATCGTGCCGAAAATAGTATCTGAGATGTGATTCACCATCTTTAAGCTATTTTTGTCAGCCTGAGAGATTGAGGCGCTTAGACTAGACTGTCAAAAGATCTTATCTTGTGTAGTCTTGAAGAGAGCTCCATGTTTTTCTGCCGCGTTGGTACAGTAGCGCGATGGTTTTTAAATATCACCGATACCGCCTCCTTTTGGAGGTGATGACATTTTCGAAAGGGTCTTCTTAGAGCACGAAGGTGACATCTTTTGGCCGCCAACACCGAATTTCACCACAGAGTTTTATAGGAAAGGAATAACTTTTAACTTTTAACTGAATTTACTGGATGTCCACTTCAAATTATTAAACCAAGCTGAGCCGGCCACCGGGCTGAGCTATTAGTGTTCAGCGATTTTGCAGCTTGGGCAACTAATAGTCCTTGATTTGGCATCGAATCACTTCTGTGCACTGTGTATGGGAAGGGGAACAGCACGGTGAGCGAAGTGGCTGCATTTATTAAATGATTTGGTAATAGTAGCAAGGCATTGTGAACTGAGAAGTAACGAAAAAAAAATCTGATGTGTACACCACATGACTTCCTTGTACGAAATATTAAATTATACGCATTTTTTCTTGCATTTTATTTAAATTATTGGATTGATTAAATCTACTTCGTCGACAGAGCATAAACCACAATAAATAAAGCAACTCTTTAAAATTCACTATTTGTTTACTATACGACACTCTGAATGCACAAAATTTATATCATTTGAAGAATTATCGTTGCCACATGTTCTATTCAAATACTATAATAAAGCTAAAACGATGTATGAAAGAAATTAAGAACAAACAAACAGAAAAGAAAACAGTTTTTCACAGACGATTTAGTATTTCTCTTTAATTAATTCACTCTCACTTCGCGACAAGGCAAAATACATAAACTCAAAATATCTGCATTAAAAATTACGAAGAAATTTAAATCTTAAACTTATTTCCTCGAAAAATTCCAGAAAGGATTAAGCATGATTTAATTCGCAATAATAAATGAAGCGTTATTTTTGTGTTGGCAGCTTAGTTCTCTAGATTGGCAAAAATCTACAATTTTGCTGTTTCAATGTAAACAAATGCCGCCATGTTATTTAAAACTTAACCGCACTTAAACAGCTTTTAAATTGTTGATAATTGTCAAATATTGCATACAGATTTACTAAGGCATAAAAACCTTAACGGAAGATAAGAACAACGTAATTCAATCATTTTTAAAGCAAAAAATGTACAATTTACAACATAAACATAAGAAACTGAGATCACTGAGTTGGGTAAGAGAGTGGATATATATATAAATATATTTACATGCGTTTGGAGCGGCCGATTGCAACCAAAATACGAAGTGCACATCTACATGTTATAGTAGTCCTATATACAAAATTTCAACGTTCTGAGGCTACTCGTTTTTGAGTTACGAGATACGTACATACGTTGTGAACCACGAAAAGTCTCATCAGAATTATTTTAAAGCTTTTTATAATTTTTTTGGAGGAAACGAGTCTTTTATTCTATTCATACGTACAAATGTCACGCAAAAACAATGTTCAAATGTTTTCGAGAGCGGTTCAAAATGGATATTTTCGTTGAAATATGTTGCGTGAAACTTTTCGAGATTACAATACTTTCTTTTTACTTCGTACAAGGAAGTAAAAAAAAGTAAAAAACTCCTTTTCATATATCCTTCTTCAGTGCTTTCGGCATTGGCAACTATTTCTCACCTATATTACCACTGTTTTGATTTGTTGCTTAAAGTACATTGGTAAATTCAATTTAAAATTTCCTCTTGATCCCGATTAAAAGCACCTAATGTGTCGTTTCTACTATTTATAAATTTGTAGAGACATTAGGTGTTTTTTGGAAGCAGGTAAGATGAAAAATATGCAACGCTTCACCAGAATGAACCACGACCTCTGGATCCGCCCATGTGTATACCACCCACCACGAAGCTGCCAAAAAGGCGAGAAATACTTTATTTACTCCCCCTTTTAAAGGGTGACTGAGGTTTTTAGGGAACCCAGTCGCCAAATCCTGGGTGAGGAGAATCATCATCCAACACCCTTTTAGTTCGGGCGCCGTTGTAGAGACATTAGGTATTTTTTGGAAGCAGGCAAGATGAGAAAAATGCAGCGCTTTCGCAGGGAATCGAACTACTGACACCTGGAATACGCGCACAGTGTGTAGGCAACCACACCACGAAGGCATGCCAAGAAGGCGGGACCTTATAAACTTACATACGTAAATTACACTTTATAATGAAACGCCATTGTTACATTATTACAGCTTACGCGATACCTTATCTATTTGGAAATTTATAAACTCTCATCCTTTTATTTTAGTGAAGAAAAATATGAAGTGTCTACGGATGAAATGGATCTCGATTATAGCGTCGTAAGTATTTTTTATCAGTTGTTTTATGCCATATAAGAAATATTATGTTAATTATTTGAAAATAATAAGATATATTTATAGATTCACGATCATTTGATACCTTCATTCACCTTTATTTCCTAACCCATTAACCTGAATCGTAGCTAAGTGCGTTTTTTAGGGTTCGTTGAATACTTTAAAATCAAGGAAATCTTTTTCGTTGAAGTACTTGTACACACAAGTAAAGTGTGTAAGTGTACATGTGTAAAGCGTTTCTTAAACGTTCTTGCAGTGTTTTCGCCCGTTAAGAAGAGAGCATTTGCTTTCTGTCTGCGCAAATGGACAATTTTCAGCTTAGTTCACAGAAATTTCTACTATAGTGACGGAAAATGAAATCCTAACATCAGGAAGAAATCAGTTTAGCAGCGGTTCTCAACCATTTGACTAGCGCGTACTATCTAAACAAAAACTGGAAAACTTTAGTACCACTACTACATTTCGCAATGGTTATTTTTCAGTTTTTTAATAGAAACATTAAAAAAAAAATATTTTGTTATTTGCACAACCTATTGACTAATTATAATTAATTTGCATACATAAAAAATATTAGATTAAAAACATTTTTACTATCAAAATTTACGTTATAATAATTTAAGTATTACATTCAGTCCGAAATTTGGGTTTGTTTAAGAGAGAAATCAATTTGTTTATGTTTGTGTTGTCTGATTTCACTTAGTCTTAACCGTAAATTAAGATCCACTTTTTTGTTCTGCATTTATTTTTCAATTATAACATGGAAGAAAATCCTTGTTCACACAAATAAATTGTGCAAAAAGGCAATAAAAACTCTTCTTAAATTCATTAAATTTTTTTTTTTTTTTTGGTTCAGCCAAAAGTTAACGAGTGTGTTATTTTCGAAATCTTCAGTGAGAGTTCGATTATATTAAATGTCTATCAGTTGATCTTTTTCTTCGCATGATTTTTGAATTGGAAATGCCTTTATATGCGCCCGTAGCTCGCCAAATGCGGCGACAAATTTCTCGCCAAACATTTTTGGCCAGAAACTCCACGGTGCCATATTACTATCTAAACTTTTTGGTCTACATTTCGAACTTTAAAAATAAATGTCTCCAAAAACGCGGTTTTCGCACATGCAAAAACCACGTTTTGAACACACAATTTATGTTAAAATCCGAACAAACAAAAAATTGATAGCAAAACTAAGTTTCTAACCAAATATTTGACAAACCCTGTACACAGCGATATGTTTTAACTTAAAAAAGTCTACGAATTGCACAATCTGTCAGCATCTCAATCTAAGTATCTAGAAACTACTCACACCTCGCTTTATAATTACGTACACATAATTTCAAAGAATACCATTAACACAGCATTGTGTTTGACTTAAAAAACATCTACGAATGCACATCTAGGCATTGCGCGAAAATCACAATAACTATAAAAATTACAAAATTCAAAACAGAATACAACAGAAATTCTGACCATACATCTCAAAATAAAAACATAATTATGCACTTCTATAATCGATGCTTCTCGCCGCAAACGTAGCTTTAACAAACCGCCACGACTCTCTATGTATTTATACGACAGCGACTCACTATCCACAAATTTATACTATGTTCACAATAAATTTCAACTTCTTTCCTAATCCTTTAAGATTTCCAACCATCCAAAAAATATGTACGAGGCTCAGTCCACTCTTTAATACCTCATCGCGTTCCTTACTAAACCTGCACAGCCACTAAAAAATCTCTCAACCCTCTGAACCACGTCTCTCATTGCACATAGCCATTCAAACACGCCGACAACGACCAACGAGCATTACCCGTCCACCAAAGATTTTTAAACTCAAAGGTTCCATACGCACGCATCGCGCCAAAAACCAGCGCAGAACACATATCGCCACATTTGGTGATATCGCCACATTTGGCGATAGGTGATCTTAGGGCGCATAATGAGTAGAGTCTGTGAATTTAGTAGTTAAAAATATTTTGCGTATCACCTATTTTTTTCTTGCGTACCACTGGTTGAGAATCTCTGAGTCAAAGCGTCTGTGTTGGTAACATATTTATTTGATTAATGTTTCAAGGTCACAAATTAAAATATGAAAGAGAGCAGCCATTTCAGATGTGAAATAGTGGTACTCCCTGCACACACACACACACGCACACAAAAAAAGGGACAGGTCTATTGGACGAATTGTCGAAACTTAACTTTGGTTTTTCCATGTCTCGAAAGCGTGACTTAGGATATACATACGATTTATATACAGCAGTTGTTCTAACATTGGTATTTTGAAACAAAATCCGACCTTTTTCTGAAATGACATGCCAATCTTTCCCATACTTCGATTCTACGAGTCAAATTATGCCAAAGTGCTAAGTTTTGTAAAAACCGCACGAGTAGTTTTTAAAAAATTAACTCTCATAATTTTAGCTCTTCCGTGTTAATTGAATTTGGTATATATTTGTTAATATCTCTTTTTTTTTTTTTTTCTTTTTCTTTTTTTGCTTAAACTTATTTGATTCTTCCTTGCACATTTCAAAATTTAGGTTCATTCCAAATAAAATTCTTTTATTTTTTGATTTATTTTTAAAATTTGCATTTTAAAATAATTTTTATAAATTTTTCGAAAAACATTTGAAATATAACCTTAAAAATTTTTACCTTTTCTTAAAGTAGATGTATTTCTAATATACCTGCAATAAAAAAAAAAAAAAAAAAAATCCTTTATTCAAGTTCTAAGATTACGTAAATTTACATATTGGAGCGTTCTGAATTGGCAATTTGTTTAGCGATAATAACGCCATTCTCGATAATTCTCCGTTGGAATTTGTAGAAATGTTAATACTTGTGTCTTCGTGACCAAAATTAACAGGAAAAGCACATTGAGTCCTTCTCTAATTGAAAAAATTATTTATGCTTTCACGAATTGCAAAAACTTTGGAGTAGCTACGATTTAAGACTCGTATAGCAGTGTTTGTACCTTCATTTCGTACGGCTGTCGTGCTGGACATGTTCTTGCCAGATGTTAACAAAAGAAATTAAGAAGATTCACGGAATTCTTCTTCGATTATTATGTTTAGAACCTTAAGCTTGAGGCTACTTTTGTCTGCAGGAGTTCCGCCTATTGATTTTGAAATGCAATAAGAATATATTTTTGAGTCATGCAACGCATGCTTCGGAACTGTATAATGGAATTGTCCCCTTCACTGATCTTCCCATCCCCTTCTTTTAACCATAGTTTCCTCTGCATTACAAGAGACTGCTGAATAGTTTTCCTATGTTTTCTTTACAGATGCACAGATGACAACAAGGTGGCCTTGCATTTGTTCTTTGAAGGCCATTCCGAGATTTGTTTTCTAGACACCGTTTACGGCATGAATTACAGTTTTTTCAGCTAACTTCTGTGATTATTTGCCGTCAAATGGATCCAGGATCAGGGACTACATCTCAAAGTACCTTATTGTACTGATTCTCTTTCTTCTCTCACTTTTGACAGTATTACACTGCGATAATTGTTATCGAAACCCTAGTAACTGTTAGTTCACTTGAATACAGGTATTGATATCTGCTTGCTTGTGGGTGTTCATCATGGTTTCTACGGAAATGAAGGCTATTCTTAGCTAAAGATCCTTAAATTTACCCTTATATCACATTAGCATTCAAAGAGTTATTGGAATCCTTCATTATAAAAGCTTTAGCTATGTGGAATTGGAATACGTTTCATCTTGTGATGCTGAATTTACCAAAAGTTCTTTCCTTCTATTTAACATAGACTGACTTCGTCTTTCCTCTCGTTAAATTTAATTTCTCAGTTTTTATCTGGTCCGTAAATTTGCAATTATCTTTTCGTTTAATCTACGATCAAACATTTATGTATGTTCAAAAGTTCCTCAGATTGGAATTGTTTTCTCGTGCCTACTTTGCTGGCCCTAGATTATGCTTACAGACGATCTGAAAATGTCGAGTGACTAGGCCAGTGAACTTATCTGTTTTCGTGAAGATCAGACTGCTGTTCTCTCTTTTTTTCGCTTTTTTATGCATGTATTTTTCAATTTTATTTATACATGTAATCTTTAATGTCCTAGTTAACTTACTTCTGTAAGCCCCGTGTTGTACATATGTGGTGCACGGGGAGTTTGTATGTTCTCAAAGGAAAAAAATGTGGTTTACGCCCTTCGTTAAAATTATTTGAAAGTAGGAACGATAACCTTTTTTTTCCGCTCGTGTACAATTAAAAAAGGGAAAAGGAAAATAGGTTGCTAGAAAATAAAAAGTTTGGCAAGTGAATTAATTTCGGCGCAAACTGGAAAAAATGCGCCAAGATAAATTTTTATATTTCTCCATAAATTTCTCATCCAAAATTATAAAATTTAATGTCTAGATATAATTTGAGTCGTAGAATAGAAATATGGAAAAAACATTGGTATGCTATTTCAGAAAAATTCGGATTTTGTGTCAAAATACCTACGTTAGAATAGTGCTATATATAAATATATATTTCCTAAGTTGCGCTTTGCAGACATGGAAAACGAAGGTTAAGTTTCGACCATCGGTCCAGTATAACGGAAGATATACAACTGCGCCATTTTTTTTATGCAAGGTGTACATTAATAATAAAGTAATAGTCGCCACGATGCTGAATGCAAACATTAAAACGCACATGCATTGTATCGTAGAGATGCTGTACTTCATTTTATGGGATGGAGTTTCATACCTCTTGCACGTATTCAGTCAAATCAGCAGTTGTCCGTGTTGATTGTGGATGACGTTGGATTCAACGTCCAATCTTGTCCTAAACATGCTCGATGGGAGAAAGAGTGAGTAATCTCACAGACAGCATGTCGGCACTATTTGAAGCACGATAGGTGATAGCAACGGTATGCAGACGGGGGAGCGTTATCCTGTTAGGAAATGCTCCCTGGAATATTTGCTTAAGAACGGCAGTGCAACCGGTGCAGTTTATAATCTGACGTGCAAATTTGCTGCCAGTGTGTGTGGCTTATCTTTGTCATCTGCCAGGATTCTCCGTTACCTTGTAGAGTCATTAGGTTAATTGGAAGCAGAAAAGATAAAAATATGCCACCGCCTTCGCCGGGAATCGAACCACGGAACTCTGGAATACCGGCCTGGAATACGTTCTACCGTTACACCACGAAAACACGCTAGGGAAGTGGGAGAAATACCTTATATACACTCCTTTTTAAAGGACTAGGGTTTTAGGGGACCTAGTCGCCAAATCTTACATTATTTTATGTTAATTTAACTTCTTTTTGTTGTCCTCACCAGAATGCAAATTAGTTGTTGTGCATTTAAACCCTGGATTTGAACTTTTTTAGAGCTTCTGGCAATCTCGCCTTGCAGTTACGTAATATCGCCAGCTCTGATAAACTATAACGGAAAAAAATATTTTATTACGGCTTTAGCCACCTTGCTAGCCGACGTTAAAATATGCGCCACTAATTAGTTGAACCAGCTTAATACACTATTTGTGTAGTTTGAAACTATGTTACCTAAACTTGAATTTAACTTCATCTTAAGTTAATTTAAATACCCTCAAGCAGCGGAGGTTCATCTGTATTGCCTGTTGTGTTGTATTTTTGTGTTGCAACTTATGTCACTTGTCCAACATCAACATAAGCATAAGCCCACGAAATTTATTGTGGCAAGGAGTGCAAGATTGCACCCATCGTTGGCAACAACTTTGAACACCCTGTAAGGATCTTAAGTTTTACTAACGTTTATTTTATTAAATCTTTACTATCACTTCTTATTTTCTACTTCCGGCCAGAATTAAAAGCGTTAACTTATTTTATGCAAAATTGGTCTGGCGAACGGCGTACTTAAGTTGTGGCTTTTTTGCCAAGCGAGGGAGAGGAAGGAGTTAGACGAGCATGCCGCTTGCCTTAGAAGTTTTACTCATGCTGTGCCTTCCAGGCCAGAGGTTTAATCCTCTTGATAATTTTAAACGTATTGTAGTGTTACAGTTCTCTGTACTACATTACGGCTTCCTGTTAATATAAGGCCAATCTTCCACGTTTATTATTTCAAAGTAAGTTAGCGTTTAGTTATTTTTTATATTCTTACGTTTAGACCCAGTAGTGGGTCTTTTGTATTCCGAAATACGGACATTATTGTAAAGAGATAAAATAAAAGGGTTTTGTATACCCTTCCTGTGTACCCCTGTTCTACTTCCCACAGTATTGAACATGCTTTAGTAGGCTCTCTGTTTCCGAGTCAGGTCCTTGCATGTTCCCAAAGAAAGTAAGACGGAACATTGAACCTGATAACCCTACAGGTGGCAGTGCGACTTTGCCCAGTTCCGTCCCTAATTTTGATGGAGAGGGACGGGCCTGAAGCTCTCCCATCCCTCTCTCCCTACCAGCTACCTCTCTAGTGGACTTTCGACTCGCCGCATATTGGTGGATCATCACGTGTTTCGCTGCTGGTGCCTGAAATGATTAGACGCATGGCTTGGAATGCATTTACACTACATATGAAAGGAATTTTTCAAACTGAAGTTTAGGTACGAGTATATTTCCGCAAGAATATTTTTCAGAATTTGGTTTTGTTTACATGATAACAGTAGAACATATGAGCCATTATCTGTTTAGCGAAGAGTTCTCTCTCAAAAGACTTTCTGAAAGAAACTCCAAATGTAATTGTATAATGTGAAACTTTTCGTGTTTACATTATACAGTTGTAGAGTCATTAAGTTAATTGGAAGCAGAAAAGATGAAAAATATGCAGCCGCCTTCGCCGGGAATCGAACCACGGACCTCTGGAATACCGGCGCAGCGTGCTACCGGTACACCACGAAGGCACGCTAGGGAAGTGCGAGAAATACCTTATAACCTAAATCCTGTTGCTAGCGTACGGGTTCGTAACAGATTGAATGCACAAGTTCGATAAAGGGGTTCATTAAATTTATTCTTATCAAAAGAAATATATCAGAACGCTTGAATTTTCATCAGAGGTATTCGTACAAGTGTTCACCAATATCACGCAGTATAATCACTAGTTATACTTCAAATTACTAAAAACGTTAAAACACAACGCAATGCAAACTGGGATTTCTCAATTCATGCGGAATTAACAACTCGCAACAACAATAACTAAGCAACTGAACTCGGACGCTCTCTCGCTTTGGCCTTTTATACACTGCTCAAAACAATTAAAGGATATTGCGGTTTTAGGTGGATCTTGTGGCTGGGAAACGTTTTAGCTGATTGATACTGTCGACGACGTATTAGGGTTTATATGAAATAAATTACACCTGTTTGGCAGAAAAGAATGCCTTCTATTGCGCATTTGTGTACAAAAGGAAAATAAACACAATTTTGTGCATATAGAAAAAGAATAAGAAAAAAGTTTTTCTTCAAAGGACATCATTTTCAGTAGTGGTATGGTCTCTCCACGGACGGCAAGCAACGTTCCACCTCTGAGGCATGAGTCACTGAGGCTTTAATACTTGGGGGTATTCTGTCCCACTCTTCCAGAAGAGCTCTTTCCAGTTTCTTGAGAGTTTTGTGAGGGTGTTGCGGCCCAGCAACTCGTCCTTCCGATGAACGTCCCAAATGTGCTCTATTGGATTCATGCTGGAGAACACCTGGCCCTTCGGGGGGAAGCGTTCGTACGATTACCTTCCCTCGAAAGGAATCCTCCACCGTGTTAGCACGATGTGGCCTGCAGTGATCGTCCATTAAATAAAGTCATCTCCGATTGCTGCAGCGCAAGACTAAATAGGTCTGGAGGATTTCAATCCTCTACGCGGACCATTCGAGTCCATCTCGAATATTCAGAGGTCTGTGCGCCCGTCATGGAGATGCCACCATACACCACACTCGCCACCCGCCAAATCTGACACTATTGTGCACGAACGCAGGATTATTCCTACTGCCAACGGTCCCTCCAGAAAAATACGCCCTATAATAAGGATGAACAGAAAAACGGGCTCGCATAAAAAAAGAACATTGCTCCATTCATTTCTCCTTCAGTTCACATGTCTTTTGGGGGGGTTTCCCACTCCCTGCGGGTCGCGAACGATCTTGAGATGTAGGCTAACACATGCCTCGGTCGGCGAGCAATACAGACTACACCATGAAGCCGGTTTCGGACATTCTGGAGTGAAACCGTGGTGCCACGTAGCCGAGCGCAGGTGTTGTTGGAGAAGAGTAGCATTCATATTTTCGTTCGGTGTCTCCGATCCATAACACTAATAACATCTTCATTGGGCGTTGTTGCCCGTCTAACGACCTTGCCCTGGTCTTCGGCCTGCACTTAACAGTTTCCAAAAAACTGTTCCAGGTCCTGGAACTTTTGTGACGCTCCAATGGCTTGCGCTAATTCGGCTTGAGTTTGCCCCCTTCTAAACTACCAACAACTCTCCAAGCTTCTAAATTGGTTAAATTACTTCGCTGAGACATCGTACTCATCGAAGCAAAGCAGTCACTGAATGGCGATCATCCTTATCTTCATTGTCTTTTGTTCAGTTGTCAAATTTTGTCTTTTGTTCAGAAGTCAAATTTCATTCGCTGCCGCTGAAGCGACGTTTTTGCCGTCGAACTCAAATAGCATACTCCACAGTTTGAAAAACCAGAAAATTTGCATTTGTGATATCTTCTTCCATTTTTGGCAAAAAGAAAATCGCTTAGATCTTTATTTTATATAAAACTTACAATATCCTTTAATTGTTTTGAGCAGTGTAGCTTTCAACTGGTCTCGAGATATTTCTAGTACTTTCTGCTTCTCGAAATTACTCGAAAGCAATAAGAGGATGGAATTACGGTTACAGATAACATAGTCAATTACATTTATACAATTTCAATAGAAATTACCGATATATCCATTTGCTCAATATTAAATGTATTATAATGCACTTAATATTGCTCAATATTAAGTGTATTATTAAATGTAGGCCTGTGTATTCTTATTTTCGGCGTAGATTTCTCTTAAAATTTGTCTCGTGATGCATTGTACGGAGAAATACTATACAATTTTAATTAAATTTCTAGTAAAATAACCTATCTAAATACAAAATTCGTTACATAGTGATCTATCTGATTATCCCTAAAATCGACAGAGATTTCTTTAAAAATCTTTGCCAATTTAAGCTTGCTGTTTTGCCTTAATTTTGCCAAAGTCATTCAAGGTTATCTGTCGGAAATGTATACACGGTTTTTAAATTTGTAATAACCGCGATGTGTTTCATTGCTATGTTAGAACATAGAACTTCTCAAAATTAAAGATGCCATGTAATTCACAATATTTCAAAGATTTCGGTGATACCGTTTATTACGTTATTGCAAGAAACTGCGTCGTAATGATTTTAAACACTTTATAATGTATTGAGAAAGAATAGAAGTATCTGTATATATTGAAAGAGAACAGATTTGCATATGTCTAATGTGATTATAGTGTAGTTGCATGAAATGAAAATATGTCTGTTTTTTCCTGCTAGGACTCATGCACGTTCGGGCCAACAGATCCGTAAGTATAAATATATTTTTACTACCTGGAATCTTGTGAATAATTTTTACAAAAGTGCTTTAATCCACATAATTTAGTGCATTCTTCGGTTAATCTTTGAATTATGGTAACTTGGCGATGTTTTGGCGAAAATTTGGCGACCGACCCTGCTACAGCAACCTGCTAGGTTGTTTGCGCCATTTTGTTCACTAAGTAAAGCCTGTTTTTTTCTACTATTTTCCAAAAATCTGCTAGCCGAATTATAACGTCTTATGCTAGAACTTTATGGAACCAAAGTGCTTAGTCATGACAAAATTAGGTGCAAATTGAGTGAAAGTGCAGAATCCAAACTGCTTGCCGCAATGTTTTAAGAATTGGCAACATACACGGTATCCACGTTATACGCTTTCATCTCTTTTTCGCTTTAAAAAATCATCCAGAATTGCACAAAATGACATTGCACTAACTCTTGACTTATCCATGTACCTGCTAAAGTCCTAGCTAGTAACCTTATCGCCTTAACCGAACTGTCGCCCAATACCTTTTTACCAATATTCCAAAGATAGCCATTCCTTCTATTCTGAATTATATCATATTCATTATTTCATCATTAAGCTTTTTTTTTTTTAAGAAATGATATACATATTTCTTTCCATATTTCGATTCCGGAACTCAAACTATGCCTAAATATAAAATTTTGTAAAATTTGGTCAGAAATACATCAAGAAATTAAAAAATTTATCTTGGCGCATTTTTTCTAGTTTGCGCTAGGAATGCGCCAAGGGAAGTCTTAATTTATGGTAACCTATTTTCCTTTATTGTAATCGTGCACAAGCGGGGGAAAAAAAAATTATTCCTTCTTTCAAATAATTTTAACAAATGCGTAACCACATTATTAACCGCCAAATGTGCGTACTACTCATTTTAACCATTGAATGGGCATAAACCACATTTGGCGCTATTCTCGTTTATAACATATATATGCCAAATTTTCGAGCGCTTCAATATATGAATTCACGTATGTCTTAGGACATGTTGAATCAAAAACTTTAAATTTTTGCTCGTATGCTAGATATACATACATTTTAAAATGATGGCCAAAGTTTAATACTATATACTTCAAAATGTTTTTGGAAAAAGTTATAAAAATTAGTAAAAAAATACAAACTTTAAAAATAAATAAAAAATATCTGCTCTTTTTACTTGGATTGAACGTAATTTTTGATTTTGAAGGAAGAAATCAAGTATATTTAATAATAAAAAAAGATATTAACAAATATTATCAAATTCAATTAATATTGAGGAGCTAAAATTTTGAGAGCTAATTTAAAAAAAAAAAAAAATGTCTTCATTTTACAAAACTCAGCACTTTGGCTTAATTTAAGCCGTAAAATGGCGTTTAGAAAGATTCTGATTTGGGGTCAAAATGCCTATCTTAGAATAATGCTATATATAAATCTTATATAAGTCTTACTTTTGAGACATGAAAAATCGAAGTTTCATCAATAGGGCCAGCAGATATAAAACTGCCCCTCCCCTTTTCCCCTCCCCTTCTTACTTCCTTGTACGAAGTAAAAAGAAAGTATTGTAATCGCGAAAAGTTTCAGGTGGCATATTTCAACGAAAATATCCATTTTGACCACTATCGAATGCAATTTAACGATGTTTTTGCGTGATATCTGTACGTAAGGACAGAATAAAAGACTCTTTTCCTCCAAAAAATTATATAAAACTGCTTTAAAATGAATTCTGAGAGAATTTTCGTGGCGTCTGTACGAACGTATGTACGTACGTACGTAATCTCGCATAACTCAAAAACGAGTAGCCTCAGAACGTTGAAATTTGTATATATAGGAACTGCTATAACATGTAGATGTGCACCTCGTATTTTGGTTGCAATCGGCCGCACCAAACGTATATAAAATATTTATATATATCCACTCTGTTACCGGCTCAGTGATCTCAGTTTTTATCTATAGGTTTGTAAATTGTACATTTTTTTGCTTTAAAAATGATTGAATTATGTTGTTTTTATCTTCCGGTTAAGGTTTTTTTATGCCTTTAGTAAATCTGTATGCAATATTTTTAGAATTATCACAATTTTAAAAAAAGTTGTTTAAGTGCCCTAAGCCTAATTAATTTTTTTGATGGCGGTATTACTTGTTTTACATTTGAAACAGCAGAACTAGTGGATTTGTTGCCAATCTAGAGAAACGTAGCTTCGCAACAACAAAGATAACGCCTTCATTTATTATTGCCAATTAAATCATGTTTAATCCTTTCTGGAATTTTTTCGAGGAAATAAGTGTTTAAGATTTACTTGGTAATTTTTAATACAGATATTTTGACTTTTTATGTATTTTTGCCTTGTCGCGAAGTGAGAACTGAATTAATTGAATGAGAAATACTCAATCGTCTGTGAAAAACTGTTTTTGTTTTGTTTGCTTAATTTCTTTTATACATCGTTTAGCTTTATTATAGTATTTGAATAGAACATGTGGCAACGATTAGATAATTCTTTAAATGATATAAATTTTGTGCATTGTGAGTTATAATATAAACAAAATATAATACTGTTAAGTGAACCTAGCGCCAGAGTGTCGCTGTGGTAAACAGATAAGAGTGAATTTTAAAGAATGCTTTTATTCTATCGCGGTTCATGCGCTGTCGGCCAAGTAGATTTAATTCAATCCAATAAGTTTAAATGAAATGCAAGAAAAATTGCATATAATTTAATATTCCGTACAAGGAAGTCATGTGGTGTACACATCAGATTTTTTTTTAAAGATTAAAAGGCCGAGAAATCTATTACTCTCGAACGGAAATTATGTCGAAACTAACCTGTCATATACTTTTTAGATTTTTTCACCAAATATTAGCATAATAAATATAATAATGAAGAATCTGAATGAATGTACGTATGTTTCTCGCACTGTGAAAACACAACAGTGCCTACAACCAACAAATTTTGAATTGAATCTTCATTTTGAAATATTAATCAATATAATCGTTATTTAATCTCTGAACATTAAAACAGTTTTTCTAAACTAATATTTTAATTTTAGTTGAGCATAAATGCAAACATTTCACTACTCAATTTGTGTAAAACCCCTGAATATGATCTCTAAATTTAATATCAAATATCTTGCCTACTTTTGTCACACACGAAGTAGACTTTGTGTGTTTATGACGAATGCAGAATTATTCTATTATATAAGTATAGAGATTTAAGGAACGTGTAAAATTTAGATTTCGTAATTTCGACGAAATTCATTTCTTTACTTTAAAAAATACTGAAACATGAATCTGCGCCATTTAAACATATTTGTAACTGGAAATTATGCCTATGGCCCAATGATTGCGAATGGTCTAATCACGGTATATAATCGTTTAAATTCCGATACTTAATTTATCCCCAAAAATATTATATATAAAAATATTATTGACTATAATAATTTGTAAACATCTGCATTAATTGCGTTACATTAAAGTACACAGTATCTTTTTCCTCGACCAGTATTACAATAAATTTGAGCAAAAGTGTTTTTCTCCTACATTTCAATTCCAATTAAATAAATAAAAATAATTTGAAAATTGAATACATAGTCTAATAATAATACATAGTCTAATCAATCAACTACTGTTGATAAACAGTGTCAGAACACACTGAAAAATGCAAACTCTATTATAATTTTTTTTAGAAAATAAGAAAATATTATTACCTTTTCGTATTTACAGAGACTGTTGACTAATTTGTGGCAATGCATTAGAATTTGAACTTGTTTTACAGCTATCGTTCTCTTAGCTAAGCCTAACTGCGTAATATCGAAGAAATTCTTAAAGAAGTCTTCATTATGTTCTTTATCGTACAATTTGGCAAAACTTCTGGTGGGTTTGATATCTATTTCTTCATAACACAGTAAATCAATACCTTCTTGGCATGTAAAACACTTTAATGCAGGAAAACTGAGCAAATTATAAATGCATTCAAATTTAAGAATCAGAATACAGCCAAAGTCTTAACTAACTGACAAATATGACACGTTACCAAAAACAAGGCTAATTCTTTTCTTTCAGCATTGGAATCCATAGCGCCGCCTAGTGAGGAAAAGTACTACTTTAGACTGAATTCCATAGTATAATAATAATAAAAAAATCTGATGTGTACACCACATGACATCTTGTACGGAATATTAAATTATACGCACTTTTTCTTGCATTTCGTTTAAACTTATTGGATTGAATTAAATCTACTTCGCCTACAGCGCATGACCACAATAATAAATGCATTCTTAAGTTAAGTTCACACTATTGTTTACCATAGCGACACTCTGCGCTAGTTCACTAACAGTATTATATTTCGCTCATATATAATTCATAATGCACAACATTTATATCATTAAGAATTATCTAATCTTGCACATGTTCTTTCACACACCTCATAAACTAGAATGATGTATAAAGAAATTAAGCAAACAAAACAAAAAAGAACAGTTTTTCACAGAGATGATACTTCTCATTCCAGTATTCAGTTCTCACTTCGCGACAAGTCAAAATACATAAACTCAAAATAGCTGTATAAAATTACGAATTAATCTTAAAACTATTCCTCTAAAAATGCGGAAAGATTAAGCATGATTAATGGCAATAATAAATGAATGCGTTATCTTGTTGGTTTGAAGCTAACTTCTCTAGATTGGCACAATCAACTAGTATCCTGTTTCAAATGTAAACACCAATGGCGCCATTAAAACATGCTTAGCGCAAAAAAAAAATTGTTAAAGATTGTTGATTTCCCCCATTGCTCAGATTTCCAAAGGCCCCAATCTTCACGCCGATCACACCACCCCCCCCCACCCATTTTTTAAGCAAAAATGTACTTTCCAAACATATAAGAGTCAAGAAAGTGAGATGACTGAGCCTGGTAACAGAGTGGCTATATTATTAATATTTATTTACGTTGGGGGGCCGATTGCAACCAAAATACGATGTGCACTCTCCATGTTGTAGCAGTCCTAGACACATTTTAACGTTGGACTACTTGTTTTCGAGTTATGCTAGATACTACGTACGCAAGTACGTACTAGTTCGTCCAGACGCCAAAAAAGTCTCTTCAGATTATTTTAAGCAGTTTTATAATTTTTTTAAGAAAGTGTCTTTTATTCTGTCCTCACTACAATATGCAAAAAAATCGTTAAGTGCAGCGGTCAAAATGGATATTTTCGTTGAAATATGCTGCCTGAACTTTTCGCGATTACATACTTCCTTTTTACTTCGTACAAGGAAGTAAAAATTTAGCTATATAAGATATTTAATATTCTCATCGAAAAATTAAATAGAAATCTATTATCATAAAATTTTAAAGTTTTAATAAATAGCAGAGTTTACTGGACTGAAATTTAAATTTTTAATCCGAATTTAAAAGTAACTAATTAATTTGAAAATTCTGCATCGTTTTCAAGGAAAAAAATATGCAAATATGTACTCTTTACGGAAACTTTATAAGGAAAGTTTTATGTATTACTTTCGAAACAGTGTTTAAAGGCTTAATGTAGGGGAAGATAAGGAACTTGCTACGAATAAACAACTAAATATTTTTTATTTCTTTTCTGTACAGGGACCGTGTTCAGATTTTGGTATACTTTGATGGAATGGAAACTACAGTTTACGAATACAGTCCTAAATTCCAAGTAAGCATAGATTTTAAATTAAATTATAGCTTGATATTTAAAATAAAATTTGAGCCGTATAGAAAATGCGACGCAAAAGAGCAAATTCCAGTGATGAACATCTAAACAGTGCGAATGAAGTAATTACAGTGTTTTCGAACACATACTTTAGAAATTTATTTCATTAGATCTTATACTAAATATTGAAATACAAACTTAAACTTTTTTTTGATGCCTTATTTTTTCTCTATTTTAATCCAAAAAATGGAAAAATGGACATTTATCCGAATATTGGGCTTTGAAGTTAAGGAACAAATACAGATTTCGAAAGTTTTTGTCATTAGGTTATTTTGAAGTATTTATCAAGTTTTAATATCGTTGTGGCCCCAACTTGTCAGCAATTGTGGTAGTGACTGCTACGAAGTTTGAATTTACACAGACACGTAAGAAGGGTTTAAAGCACTTTTTATTCAACTTTTAAAATACCAGCTGCTCTTGCGCTCACAAACTACGCCGACCCGGCGTTTAAAACTGAAAAAACGTAAACTGCACATAATGGAAACTGGATGAATAAATAGCGAGATCATTATCCACGAGGCTCTGAGATCTTAAACTAACCTAACCACATTCTAAAATTACCGCTGAGATTCAGCGAGCTTACTGATTAAGCAGTTGAAAGACCTAGCAAAATCTACCGAGCTAGGCACACAGGCTGACACGCGCTGTTCTAAAATTTCTACCAAGCAATATTCACGTTCGCAATTCAAGTAGCACACCTACAATCTCGTTTCCTTCCTAATTTAAACTCAGCTTACTTCCGCTAAATTTGAATATACTGCGCACTCTACTACAGTTTACATACTCTAGCATTGCATCTAGGCAAAGTAAAGCTTTGACAGGAAAGATTAACTTAAAGATAAATGTTAGCTAAATAAATATAAACCCTAACATGGTTGTGTGTCAAAATAGATAACCTATGAGTTGTCCATGATAGGGCCATTTTGAAGCAGGAGGGCATGAAAATGGGCAAGTGCCCTTCCCCAGACTCGAACCTGGAGCTCTTGAGTACCGAGCCAAGTGACTAACGTTTACTCCACAAAGGCATCAGAAGGAGGGAGAAACTATCCTCTATACTGCCCTTTTAAAGGCACTGGGAATTAGGGAACCCAATCGCCAAATCCTGATGGTGAAGAATCATCATCCACCACCTTTTTAGTTCGAGCGCCACTATAGAATCATTAGGTTATTTTGAAGCAGGAAACATGAAAAAGGAGCAATGGTCTTGCCGAGTGTGCTACCGTTACACCATGAAGGCATGCAAAAAAAAGGAGAAAGTACCTTATACTTCAAATGGCAAAGAGATAGTTGTTTATAGCTATAGTTGTTTATAGAGATAGTTGAAAATAGAACTATCAGTTATATTTCTCGCTAGTAGAGAAGAAGAATTGTGCAATACAAGATAAGCAAAAAATAACACACTGGAACTCCTTCAAAAAATTTAAATTGGAATTGACAAATCCGATTTGACAATATGAAGGACCAAATTGACAAAAGTACAGACTAGATTAAAACATAAAGACTAGGGACGATACAACACCTCTATTGCATCCATAAAATAAAAAAAAAAAAGTCAAAAATAATCCTGAAAAAAAATTCAATGCAAATAATTTCTGCCTGACCGTATATACTCTCTTAGATATACAGGCAAAGATGCTCTTTGTATTTATGTATATAATAATGCTATATATATGTTTCTACTGGTATTGTTATATGTATGTCATGATGTCCGAATCTGTTATATATTTACCTTTATGTTGTATTATTTGCCTTTATGTTCTGGTACTACATTATGTTCTATATTTACCGTTATGTATTCGAGTATGAAAGACACCATATGTCACAACTATATTATAATCATATGAAAAAATGTAAATATGTCAAAATTCTTTTAAAATAATTATAATGTTGAAATAAAAAGATAGTGCAGTTGGACAATACCCACATTACCTATGGTTAAACATTTGGGTATCCGCTGCACTAAAACCTGAACCTGAACCTGTTTATAGCTTCAACGGGTTAACCGTTCCTCTTAAAGATGCAGACAGTGGTAAATAGTTAAGTTCGGATAATGGAATAAAAGAGGTGGTGCATTAATAACTAAATAACCAGTAACAGAAGGCATATTTCGTGCAGAAAACTAGTCTTTATTTTGGTTTCTTTGATTATGGCAAAGTATTCTCAAGGATTATCTGCCGAAGCGAAGGCATACCTTTCATGTAGGACTTTCTGAAGAAAACCGACTCCTATCGAAGTTACTGCTGCAGAAATGACAAAAATGCCCATGCAGCCAACATGTTTGCCTGGAACCTTGCATATTGTATTTATTAATTCTACAGACGCATTAATTGTACACTACTATCTCTACTGCACTGCGCGCGTTAACATGCTAATATTCATGTGTCCTGCGCAGTGCGTACTGTGTGCATGTGCACTGCGTTACGTATCTTCTGATCATGTGAGTATTGCATTTGTTAAACATAGAAAATGCCGTGGTTCGCAAAACAAATATTTATTACT